TCAGCGTCTGGTCTTAGGTCTCCCGCGTGTCTTGCCGTCGCTGCCGCCGTCTCTTGCACCACCGTGCGGTCCTTGCATCGAGGGTAGGCTGCGTGCCACCCCTCACTCCTCCTCCCTTCGTCCGGCCACCGAGCCTTTTGAGACGCTGCACTTGGACGTCTGGGGCCCCTCTCCTCGCCCTGGCCCTGAGCGTGAGCGTTTCTTTTTTGTGGTCGTTGACGACTACTCCCGCTACACCACAGTGTTCCCCCTGGCGAGGAAGTCTGAGGTGACTTCTACGCTGATCAGGTGGTTGCTTACCACCCAGGACACTCGTGGTCGTCGTGTCAGCTGTCTCCACTCCGACCGCGGGGGCGAGTTTCGCTCCGGCATTCTCGCTGGATTCTGTCGCGAACAGGGCATTCGTCAGTCCTGGACGCTTCCGGAGTCCCCACAGCAGAATGGGGTTGCTGAGCGTCGCATAGGCCTGGTCATGGAGATTGCCCGCACCTCCTTGACTCACGCCCGTGCCCCCCATTTCCTGTGGCCATACGCAGTCAGGTACGCCGCGCACCAGCTGAACCTCTGGCCACGCGTCTCTCGGCCGGAGGCTTCACCGACCAGTCTTTGGACAGGGTCCCCTGGTGTCGCGTCGAGGTTTCGTGTCTGGGGGTGCTTGGCTCTTGTCCGCGACACCTCCGCGGACAAGCTCTCGCCTCGCGCCGTTCCTTGTGTCTTCCTTGGTTTCCCTGAGGACTCCTCTGACTTCACCTTTTACCACCCTCCCTCTCACCGGTTCTTTGACTCCCGTGACGTCCGTTTCGAGGAGTCCACCCCGTACTACGTCAGGTACCCCAGTCGAGGTCTCCCGGTTCCTCCTCCCCCCCTCTTCCTGACAGCCGCTCCCCCGCCTGCTCCCCCGGTACAGCCTCCCCCCCCTGGTCCAGCCCCGTCTGGTGTGTCTCAGGCTAGCCCTCCCCCTTCGGTAGCCCCCCCTGTACAGCCTCCCTCCCCACAGTCTTCCTCACCGCCTCCTGTAGGTGCTCCCTCTCGGGAGGTTGGTCCTGCGACTGTCCCTGTACAGGTCTCTGGTTCTTGGGGTACTGCAGTTGGAGCTGAGCCGCGGGTTGCAGAGGACTCTTGTCTTCCGGGGGCTGGTACTGGTCGTGCGGAGTCTGGGGGTGCTGGTGCGGAGTCTGGGGGTGCTGCGTCTGGGGGTGAGGGTGTCCCTTCGGTTTCTGGAGAGCCTGGGTCTGGAGCTGGTGTTGGTGCTGCCTCTGGGGGTGGTGTGCTTGGTGCTTCGGAGGTCGACTCTGGGGCTGCCGCTGCCCCGGACACTACTCCTTCCCCCCACCCCTACCCGACCAGGTTCCAGGCTCGTGTTCGCCGTGCTCGTGAGGAGCAGCTGGAGTTGGAGAGAGAGGAGAGAGAGTTGCAGCGGCTCGAGGAGCAGGAGCGACAGCAGCAGGAGCAGCAGCAGGGGCAGCAGCCGCTGGAGCAGCAGCAGCCGCAGCAGCAGCAGCTGTCGTCTCCTCCCCCTGTCTCGGGTCTTCGGACCCTTGGTCTCCCCTCTCCCTCTCCTTCCTCCTCCCCCTCTCCTCCCGTCTCTGGTCCTCCGCTTCCTCCTCCTGACCCCTCTCCCGCTGTTTTCCCTCGTTCTCAGTCTTCGTTGTCCCCTCCTCCTTCTCAGACTTGGGCCTCTCGTCGCTCCCCTCGTGCTCGTCCCTCGTCTCCTGTTCCCTTCACTGACCTTCGTACAGCCTTCCTTTGTTCTCGTCCACCTCGTCCGTCTCCGTCTGTGCTTCCGTCTCCTCCTGAGTCGGCCCTCACTGTGTCGCTTCCTTCTCCTGTCACTGACTACTACCGCACGTACCGTCCTGTTCTCTCTCGTGTTCTCGCCTCTCTTGTTACCCACCCTCGTGCCTCTGTGTCCTCTGTGTCCGCTCTTACTGCCGCAGTCACTGAGTTTGCCTCTACCCGCCGCCTTGACTTCGCCACCGCTCTTGTGGCTGCTCCTCCTTCCAGTCCTCTGGCCGTCGGGGGTGTGTCTGCCCTTGGCAGTGACGCCCTAGAGGACAGGCAGTTTGAGCTAGAGTTCCTGGCCGCCGCTTCCCCTCATCTCTGTGCCATGCTCCTCGCCCCTGAGGGTGACCCCGACGCCCTTGACATTCCGACTCCTCGCACTTACGCTAAGGCAGTGTCAGGGCCTTGGGCCTCTCAGTGGAGAGCTGCCATGGACGCAGAGATGGCCTCCTACAGATCCACAGGCACCTACGTCGATGAGGTTCCCCCTCCGGGGGCGAACGTAGTCGACGGCATGTGGATCTACAGGGTGAAGCGGCCACCGGGATCTCCTCCGGTCTTCAAGGCGCACTACGTGGCTAGAGGTTTCAGTCAGCGCGAGGGAGTTGACTTCTTTCAGACCTTCGCGCCCACCCCGAAGATGACCACTCTTCGGGTGTTACTACACGTAGCAGCACAGAGAGACTACGAGTTACACTCTCTCGACTTCTCTACTGCTTTCCTTCAGGGCAGTCTTCACGAGGAGGTCTGGTTGCGTCGTCCCTCTGCCTTCACTGGCTCTTTCCCTCCTGGGACCCAGTGGAGGCTGAGGCGACCGGTTTACGGTCTTCGTCAGGCTCCTCGTGAGTGGCACGACACCCTGCGTTCTACCCTGTCTGACCTTGGGTTCCAGCCGTCTTCTGCTGACCCGTCGCTGTTCGTTCGTCGTGGCCCCACACCTTTCTTTGTTCTGGTCTACGTTGACGACCTTGTTTTTGCCACCCCTGACAGGGTTGCTTTGGCACACGTGAAGTCCGAACTGCAGAAGAGACACACCTGCACTGATCTTGGTGAGCTGCGCCACTACCTTGGCTTGCAGATCACCAGGGACAGAGCTGCTCGCACCATTACACTTTCACAGTCGCACATGGTGCAGCAGGTCCTTCAGCGGTTCGGGCTTCAGCACTCCACAGTACAGCGCACACCTCTTGCTGTTGACCACAGACTCACTGGACCCTTTCCTGACGAGCCGTTCGAGCCTAGTGGTCCCTACGCAGAGCTTGTGGGTTGCCTCATGTACCTGATGACTTGTACTCGCCCGGACCTCGCCTTCCCTCTCAGCGTTCTTGCGCGCTTTGTTGCGCCAGGGAGACACCGTCCTGTTCACTGGACAGCAGCTGTGAGGGTGGCGAAGTACCTAGCGACGACATCAGGCGTGGGGCTAGTTCTTGGAGGGCAGCAGTCTGTCGTACTTACTGGTCACTGTGACTCCTCTTACGCTGACGACGCTGAGACTCACAGGTCTACTCAGGGGTACTGTTTCAGTCTGGGTTCTGGAGCTGTTTCCTGGCGGTCCACGCGCTCCTCTTCGGTCTCGACCTCTACAGCTGAGGCTGAGATCTACGCTGGTGCCATGGCGGCACAGGAGCTGCGTTGGTTGACCTTCTTGCTCACCGACCTTGGTGAGCGGCCGAGCTCTGCACCGACCTTGTTCACTGACAACAAGGCGTCTATTCTCCTTTGTCGAGAGCCACGACTGGAGAGCAGAGTGAAGCACATTCACGTCAGGTACTTTCTTCTGCGAGAGTTGCAGAGGCGTGGACAGGCTCGCTTTGAGTTTGTGGAGTCCGAGGCCAACACTGCAGACATCTTCACCAAGGCGCTTCCGCCTTGTGACCACCAGAGGTGCTGTGTGCAGTTAGGCCTTGTTGACACTGGTTCTCGTGTTGCTTAGACTTGAGTGTACTGTTTACTTTGCTTTCCATATATCTCTGTTACTTCTTGGACTGGCCTTGTGGCCACTGTTGTTTGTGCTCAGACTGTGTGGTGACGTTGTGATCCACCCTGAGCTTCGTTTCTTGGACTGGTCTTGTGACCGTACTCGTTTGGTTCTGCTAGACACCCCTCACTTAGGCTATGGGGGTGTGTCAAATGTTGTAGCCTATAGTGAGGTTTGTCTTAGGGGGTACAAAACTTAGGGTTAGCTATATGTACCCCAACCAACATCAATGCATCATCCATTCCTCATTCTGACACAAACATATATGCCCATATGGGGTACAGCCCAATTAGGGTTTACTACTTGTACTCCTGCATGCTGCTAGTTCATCCATTCCTGCTGCTAGATTCTGACAGCGATTAGGGGAGCCCCAACCCTAAACACGGGGAGCCCCAACCCTAAACACGGGCAGCCGCATGGTTCTGCCCGAAAAAGATTGCATTTGCAAACACGCACTGGGAAAATTGGATCGCAGTTCGAATTGACCGATCTCTGCCGGACTCTGAAGACACAGTCTAAACTACCGTGTGGTCACCGCCTTTTTACAGGTCTTTACTGATGTGATTACATCGACAGACCTAACTGGGTCTCCGCTCCTCTGTCTCTCTGCAGCTACCGTTTCCTGGACGATGTGTCAGAGAATAGGTTTGACTGTTGGAAAGAAAACCTCGTCAGGTTCAGGAAAAGAAACAAGATCATTTGGCGCAGGGGATTTGCGCGACATTGGGCAAACCTTCTTTTACGGACCTTCCACCCTGTCGTTACGTTATTGAAGCGTTTGGTGGAACAAACGAGACGCTACCAGCTCATTTACTCTCTCCGCATCTACCAGCTTTTTCCTCACAGAAGTTAGCAATTTCTCCTTCATCTCCCTACCTCCTCCCTACGGAAGTGTAGGGCTGACAACATTCCTTCCACCCACGGAAGTTTATCAGTCTTTCTGTCCCCGCGTTCACCTCTGTGAAGTGATAGCGCGAAGTGTTCCATCAGATAGCAACAAACCAATTTAAAATTTAAGAAAGAACGTGGAGCGGAGGATTATGAGAAATATGCTGTACTATATAGGTTTGGCCTTTACAACAGAAACCTGCTTGTCAGGCTTCTCGCTAGGCAGACGAGGCACAAAAAGCACCATTCACTGAGACACCTACTTCTATACGTGCCGACCTTATTAGGTACATATTAGCGTATGACACACGGAGCTCTGAAGAGTTGAGAGGGGGGGAAGCTGTGGCGCGGCTTAGGGGGCGGCGACGTTGGCGAGGGCCTTGGGCGCGATTTCGACGCCGTCGGCCTGGCCGGGCGAGGAGTTTTCGACCTGCAGCGAGAGGAGCGTCTCCTCCCACTCCTTGGCGGGGCCCTTCCACGACAGGTCCTGCGCCATGCCGTTGAGAATCATCTGGTCGAACGCCGGCGTGCCGAACACCTTGAGCGCGCGCTGCACTCCCGCCGTCAGCGTCGCCACGTCCTCCGGATACACCGCCTCGCACTGCGGCGCGCGCGCATGGGAGGGGACGGGGGGAAAAACGGAACAAGGTGATCGTTAGTCCAAGATGCAATAATGGCAAGCAAGCAGTAGAATTGGAGACTGGAGAGAGGATTTTAGCGAGGGATAAGGCACGGAAGAAGAGGAAAGCGAGGAATAGATAGATGGGAGTAGAAGGCAAGGCCAGAGCGGCGAGGGAGGGCGACTCACGTCGACGTTGAACTCGCCGATCTGGAAGCCCGTGACGCCGTCCTTCACGGTGTCCACGAGCCCGCCCGTGGACGCCACGATGGGCACCGTGCCGTAGCGCATGGCGTGCAGCTGGATCAGCCCGCACGGCTCGAAGCGCGACGGCACCAGCATGAAGTCGGCGCCGGCCGTCATGAGATGCGCCAGCGGCGTGTTGAACTTGACGACGCCGCGCGCCTTGTCGGGGTACTTGGTCTCGAGCGCCTCGAGCTGCTGCTCCAGGTACTTCTTGCCCGTGCCCAGCACGATCAGCTGCACGTCGCCCGCGAGAATCTCCTCCACCGCCGCCGACAGAATGTCCGACCCCTTCTGCTCCTCCAGCCGCCCGATGAACGCCAGCACCGGCACGTCCGCGCGCACCGGCAGCCCCACCTCCGCCTGCAGCGCCTCCTTGAGCGCCGGCTTGACCTCCAGCACGTTGGACGCGTCGTAGCGCGCGTCGAGGAACTTGTCCTCCGACGGGTCCCACTCCGTGACGTCCATGCCGTTGACGATGCCCTTGATGCCCTTGGCGCGAATCACGTCGTCCAGCTCCACGCCCTTGGCCGGCCCCGACTGCAGCTCCGCCGCGTAGTTGGGCGACACCGTCAGCACCATGTCCGCCTCCGTGAATCCCGCCTTCAGCCAGTTGATCTTCGGCCCCTTCACCGGCGTCGCGTACCTGCGCGCACCAACGCATGTCGCATCGGCGGCATGTGGGCGCGACTATTGTTACAGAGTTGTGCGAGGAACGAGTAAATAAACTCAAAATATGAGTCTTTTTCAAGTCTTCAGAAATCTCTAGGTGAGTGTGAGTGCTCCTAAAAAAATCTCTAGACAAACCGGGGAACCAGTCCGCACTATCACGCGCAACGTACCCGTCAGTGAAGGCAAAGGAGGGGCGGAAGGAGTCGGGGAGGTTGAGGCGGTCGAAGTCGGAGGGCGCGAAGCGGCCCTGGTACGCGATGTTGTGCGTGCAGAAGGCCACCTTAGCCTGGCGGAAGTGCCCCTGCTGCTGCAGCACCTTGAGGTACGCCGGCAGCACGCCCGTGTGCCAGTCGTTGGCCACGAACACCACGTCCTCGCCGTACGTGCCCGAGTAGAAGGGGTTGTTGTTGAGCGCGAGCACCTTGGGCGCCATGAGCGCCGCCTGGTTGAAGAGCGAGAAGCGCAGCACGTTGTCGTCGTAGTCCACGCCCGTCTTGGGCCCGTACACCTTGCTGCCCGTCTTGCCGTACACCTTGGCCAGGAACAACGGGTGGTCCACGAACACGCGATCCACGCCGCGCTTGTAGCAGTGGAAGAACCGCACCTTCTCCACCGCGTCGCCCACCTTCACCTGCGCACGTCAGTCAGTTCCACACGCCACACGCGACAGCGCAACCACGTGTTAGGAATATCAGATCTTGCTTGGCCGTCAAGGTCGCGGATTTCACCTTAATCGGGTTTCAAGATATATTCAAGAAAACGAAATTCAAATCAAATTTTGGGGCGGAAGACTCGGTGGAGCTGGCGGTACTTACATCGATGATGACGTCAGTGTCCCAGGCGTCCTTGTACTGGTCGTAGCGCGGCGACACCGTCATCACGCGGTGGCCCCTGGCGGCGAGAGCGGGGGGGAGGCCGCCCAGCACGTCGCCCAGGCCGCCGGTCTTGCTCCACGGCGCCACCTCCGCCGACACGAACACCAGCTTCATGCCGGGCTCCGTCTGCTCGCACCGCACCACGCCGCTCTGCGCCGAGCTGCTCTGCACCGCTGAGGACTTGGCGCGCAGCTGAACGGCCTGCGAGGTGGGCTTGGCGCCCGCGAAGGTGGAGGCCGACTTGAGCCCATCGAAGCGCGCGATGTTGGCTGAGGCGGGGCCGGAGACCACGGGCGACGCGAGGAACGCCTTGCTCGTGGAGAGGGACGCCTTCATCGCCGAGGAGACGGGAGCGGTCGCCATGGTTACAGACAAAACCTGCAGTGGAGAGACGGTAGCTCGAAGTGTTGACCTTGATACGTGTAACCGCAGCTTCCGGGATTATTTCCGAGAGGTGTTTGTGATAGTGTAAAGTTGATGTTCCGCCGATTTATAGCTGGGTATGAAGAGTGCTCCAGGCAGGTTTGTGATGGAATCTTGGGACTCTCGCGATGGTCGAGCTTGGTTGCCCCGAGTCGCTCGTGGACAAATTCGTTCAGGTGACGTGGCAGCCAAGGGAATGCGTTCCGTCGTTTCGGGCTGCTTCGGTCATGCCAAGGCTTGAGATTCCACCTCCGTGGGCCTGTAACGAGAGGACCTCATTGAACGAGAGGCTCATAGGGAACTATCAGGCTCGTCACTTACCTCAGGTGGCAGATCGAGAGTGGTTGCGTCAAATATTCCAAGATCTCTGGAGAACGTATCACAATAACCAGTCAGCATTGAGTATTGTCCAGCATGATGTGAATACCCGTATGCGAACAAATTCCACCTCCAATTATGTGGGAGAGGCGAATAAAGTGATGGTCTGAACAATTTTCGAGTTTCTCCCAGTTGCATGATCTCCAGCGAAACTATAACTGGTTATAAAGTACATCCGTTGATATTTAAGAAGCTATGCGCATGATATAAGCGTTGGATGTTTTTTTAGTGATTTCTACTGTTACTGCAATACTCCTACATAAGCACATAAAACATGACCCTCATTTATGGCCATACCTTTATAGATCACTACAATATCAGGTGACATTTTGCTAACAATCAAAATGAGGGAGACCTGCAGAGCAGGAGATGAGCAATGGCATCTGAGATACCTACATCCCCAAATGCACCACTTCAATTCCTGCCACTCATCCTTCATCCTTGCTGCTTGTTATCCCTCACACACACATTTCCTCCTTTGCCCTAAACCGCCCTTAACCTTATCTTTCCTATCTCTCATTCCCCTCATTGCCATCCCAGGTACGTGTCAAGACAAGCCACAATGGCAAGCGACACTGGGTAGAGCAAGAGGACGGGGAAGGCCATCCAGGTGGGGAAGGTGTGGCGGCTGCCGCCCAGGAGGCCGACCACAAAGGTGTTGAGCAGGATAATGACAACCTCGCTGCTGAACTGCCATGCCAGGCCTCGAAAATAGATCAGAGCAAGGAACGTGCCCAGACACCTGGGGGGTGGAGAGGGGGGAGAGTGGGGAGGGGAGCAGATGGGTCGTTCATGGTGATGGCGCTGTAGACCTTCGTGAGCGAGATGGCACGTGCCCTTGTCCATGGCAAAGACATGGGGTTTGAAAGCCAGCAAGTCACGGGCTGGGGACAAGGTGTGTGTGACTCACATGGTGTTGTTCATGGTGATGGCGCCGTAGACCTGCGAGTAGGTGAGCGAGGCGGTGCGGCGGCGCTTCTTCATGGCAAAGTAGAGCGACGACACCAGCTCACTCGCGTTGGACGCCAGCGGCGTCACCACAAACGCCACAAAGAACGGCGGGATGCTTGATGCCCTGTGCGGGGTTGGGGAGGGGGGGGAGAGGGGCGAGGGGAGTTGAGGGAATTTGGGAAGGGAGAGGAGGGAGTGGATGGAGGAGTGGGGAGAGCGGTGGGGAGAGAAGAAGGGATAGGGGAGATGGGAGAGGAAGGAACGGGCAGGTGGGAAGTGGAGCGAAGAAGAGTGAGACGTGCATGAATTTGCCTGTTTTCCTGCCTGTTCGTGATATGCTGTGCTGTGATGTGCTGTGCTGTGCTGTGCTGTGCACATGATGCAAACAACATCAGGAGGAGGAGGAGCAGCAGCAGCAGCAGCAGCAGCATGGCACGCACCTGGAGAAGGCAGTGATTGAGTCGATCACAGGGTCTGCAAAGCACCCCACCAGCATTGCCCCTCCTGCTATCAGCATTATGGCCTGCCGAGGTTGCACGGGGGCGAGGGCGAGGGAGAGGGAGAGGGAGAGGGAGAGCAGGAGCGAGAGCGGGAGCGGAAGAGAGGGAGAGTGAAAGAGGGTGAGAGAGGAGATGATAGAAAAAAAGGCACAAGGCAGGGTAGAAAGCAAGCCAGGTCTAACCGAGTGCCATGCCCCAAGCCATGCCCCAAGCCATGCCCCAAGCCATGCCCCAAGCCATGCCCCAAGCCATGCCCCAAGCCATTCCCCAAGCCATGCCCCAAGCCATGCCCCAAGCCATGCCCCAAGCCATGCCCCAAGCCATGCCCCAAGCCATGCCCCAAGCCATGCCCCAAGCCATGCCCCAAGCCATGCCCCAAGCCATGCCCCAAGCCATGCCCCAAGCCATGCCCCAAGCCATGCCCCAAGCCATGCCCCAAGCCATGCCCCAAGCCATTCCCCAAGCCATGCCCCAAGCCATGCCCCAAGCCATGCCCCAAGCCATGCCCCAAGCCATGCCCCAAGCCATGCCCCAAGCCATGCCCCAAGCCATGCCCCAAGCCATGCCCCAAGCCATGCCCCAAGCCATGCCCCAAGCCATGCCCCAAGCCATGCCCCAAGCCATGCCCCAAGCCATGCCCCAAGCCATGCCCCAAGCCATGCCCCAAGCCATGCCCCAAGCCATGCCCCAAGCCATGCCCCAAGCCATGCCCCAAGCCATGCCCCAAGCCATGCCCCAAGCCATGCCCCAAGCCATGCCCCAAGCCATGCCCCAAGCCATGCCCCAAGCCATGCCCCAAGCCATGCCCCAAGCCATGCCCCAAGCCATGCCCCAAGCCATGCCCCAAGCCATGCCCCAAGCCATGCCCCAAGCCATGCCCCAAGCCATTCCCCAAGCCATGCCCCAAGCCATGCCCCAAGCCATGCCCCAAGCCATGCCCCAAGCCATGCCCCAAGCCATGCCCCAAGCCATGCCCCCCAAGCCATGCCCCAAGCCATGCCCCAAGCCATGCCCCAAACCATGCCCCAAGCCACGCCCCAAGCCATGGCCCATGTGACAGGCCACCAGGCAACAAGAGTGTGTGACGGCCTAAACACGCACGGCACAGGAGAATATGAGCACCACGCATGCACCCACTCACCCACCCACCCACAAAACTACGTATCCTCGCCCATGCCCTCGCACGCACCTCGCGGTAGATCTGCGCGGGCGTTTTGACGACGTCCTCCTGCTCCTCGTCCTCCACCTCCTCCTCCAGCTCCTGCTCCAGCCCCTCCAGCTGCCCCTTGGCACTCGCCAGCTGCCCCTCCCAGAACTTGTTGTCCGCACTGCACCGTTACAGAGGCGTGAGGGGTGGGAATGGAGGGGTGAGGGGTGGGAATGGAGGCGTGAGGGGTGGGAATGGAGGGGTGAGGGGTGGGAATGGAGGGGTGAGGGGTGGGAATGGAGGGGTGAGGGGTGAGGAGTGGGGGAGGAGTGAGGGGCGAGGGGCGGGAATGGAGCACAGCTTTCAGGAAGTTCTCTCCCTTATCTCTGCTCCAGCCCCTCCAGCTGACCCTTGGCGTTTGCCAGCCACCTCCCAAAACTTGTTGTCCGCACTGAGAGGGGAGGAGGGAGATGGGTGATGTGTGAGGAGTGAGGAAAGGGGAGTGAGGTGTCACTTTGAGACGTCTCTAAAGGCAAGCAGAATTACAAGGCATGGAAAGGACAGCAGCTCGTTGCACGTGTGCAATGGCACAGCTGTGAGAGGATTCTAAACAGCGTGTGACATTGGAATCGATTCTCGTTGCATGCTCGCTTAATGGTTTGTAAGTGGCTAATGGACAGGTGAAAAGGGTGGGAGGGAGGGGAGAGGGGAGTGGGGAGAGGGGAGTGGGGAGAGGGGAGAGGGAAGAGGGCTGAGGGGAAAGGGGAGTGGGGAGAAGGGAGAGGAGAGAGGGGAGAGGGGGGAGGGGAGACAGGAGACGGGAGACGGGAGAGGGGAGACGGGAGAGGGGAGAGCGGGGGAGAGAGGGGAGAGCGGAGAGGGGAGAGAGTCTGACCTGGCGCCTCTGAGGAGGGACATGGTGGAGGGGCGGTGGGAGGGCGAGGAGTGGTGGGTGATCCAGCGCTGCATGCCCGACATGAACTCCTCCTGTGGTACCAGGCAACCCACCATGCCACCATCGTGCGCGTGTGCCATGCCATGCCATGCCAGGCCAGAGATAGTGCAAAGAGAGTGCGGGACACAAAATGCCATGGCATTTTGAGTTTGAGATGGTGGCCATACAGTTGTATGTTATAGGGGGAAGAAGGGGAGGGGGGGGGTTGAGGTTGAGGGGGGCAGCGGCATTGGCATGGGGTGCAACAACAGAACATCCTGTTCTCAGGATGTGAGTCCATCCTGAGAACAGCAGAACATCACAAAGCCCATGCACCACACCTCAACCTACCCACCCGTGCCAGGCCGCCACATGCCACCAATCATGGTAAGCCACCCACCATGCCACCCACCATGCCACCCACCATGCCAAGCCACCATTCCGTGCCAACCAACCGATACCATACCACCACACCCCGACCCAAACATTCCTGTAGCACCCCTTCCTCCCGGGCTTCCCCCCTCCCTCCCCCCGCCTCTCGTGTGCAACCCCCCACACTCGTGTGCAACCCTCCCTTCCCTCCCCTGCGCGACTGACATAGCCGATCTCGCCATCGGAGTTGGAGTCAAAGTCGCGCATCCATGCTGCCACCTCGTCGTCTGCCGGCACGTCTCCTGGTGCCTGCTGGGGGGGCACGAGGGTGTGCGAGAGAGAGAGGGAGGGAGAGAGAGACATGCAGAATGCTTCCTGCGAACACAGACACAGCAGCATGAGACTTCACAATTCAGCAGCTCAATCAGTGATGAGAATTCTCAAAAGTGGCTCCACCATGCCAATGCAAGCAATGGCCTCGTTGCCCACGAGTCTCCAGCTCAGCCGTGGCTCAAACATTGTCGTGGCATTGTCGTGGCTCAGTCGTGGCATTGTCGTGGCATTGTCGTGGCTCAAGACATTGACACAACAACTTCTCTTGACACAACACCTTCACATGCAGTTGAGCCGGAACACGCGGTGGATGGTCTCGCGGTTGCGCGTGCCGTCCGGCAGCAGCAGCATGTCCTGCAGCGCTGTCACCTCCTATCACCTCCTATGACCTACCACACAAAGTTCCTTCAACTCCCAAGGCCACCCCTTGAAAACCCAGCACCCATCCCCATCCCCCTTCTCTCTCTCTCCTCTCCTCGCCCCCTCCGCCCTTTCCCCCCAATCCCCCTTTCCCCACCCACCCCCACCTGGCTGCGAATCCCCAGGCCGAGAACCAGCCCTTTGAGCTCACTGCGGGAGAGAGTCCCGTTGCCGTCCTCATCAAAGTGCCGGAAGACGCGGTGGATGGTCTCGCGGTTGGGCGTGCCGTCCGGCAGCAGCAGCCCGCCCCACGTGTTCTGCTCTGCTCTGCAGCGTTATCACCTCCCAAGACCTACCCACGCTAAGTCCCTTGGACTCCCAAGGCCGTCCCGTGGCAACCCCGAACCCATCTCCATCCCCTCCCACCCCGTCCCCCAATCCCCCCCGTCCCTCCCACCCCCCACCCCCCACCTGGCTGCGAATGCCGAGCCCCAGGACCAGCCCCTTGAGCTCGCTGCGGGAGAGAGTCCCATTGCCGTCCTCATCAAAGTGCCGGAACACGCGGTGGATGGTCTCGCGGTTGGGCGTGCCATCCGGCAGCAGCAGCCCGCCCCACGTGTTCTGCAGCGCCAGGTCGTGCAGGTGGTGCAGCGCACGCGCCCGCATCAGGTGCATGCGCGCATAGTGGATCTTGGAGGACTGCAACCAGGGGGACAGCACCTGGGGGAGAGGAGAGGAGGAGGGAAGGGGAAGGAGAGGAGGGGTTTTCAGCGATCTGAAGCTAAAGGAGTGAGAGGACCATGTATGAGAGGCTCGTGTATGAAAGGCTCGTGTATGAGAGGCTCGTGTATGAAAGGCTCGTGTATGAAAGGCTCGTGTATGAAAGGCTCGTGTATGAAAGGCTCGTGTATGAAAGGCTCGTGTATGAAAGGCTCGTGTATGAAAGGCTCGTGTATGAAAGGCTCGTGTATGAAAGGCTCGTGTATGAAAGGCTCGTGTATGAAAGGCTCGTGTATGAGTGCAGCCACTAGGAGCACGCACGAGGTGAGCAGGGAGCAGCAGCATGCACTAGGGATTGCTGCGATGCTACTGCCGAGGAGACGAGACAGCTGCAGGTGTGAGAGAGAGAATGCTCGGCAACAGACGCACTCACCTGGTAGGCGCAATAAGCAACGAGGCCAGCTGTGGAGAGCAGCAGCCCCAGCAGCGCTGTGATGCGCGCCTGGTACTCGGGGTACTGCCCCCCGTCCAGGAACGGCACCTGGTGGTGTCATGTGGTGTCATGTGGTGTCATGTGGTGTCATGTGGCACAGCGGAGAAGGGGGGAGGGACTCTTAAGTCGGCTCAAAAGTCGCGCCTGGTACTCGGGGTACTGCCCCCCGCCCAGGAACGGCACCTGGTGGTGTGGCGAGGGAGGGAGGAAGTGGGGAGAGGAAGGACGGCACAGGGGGGGTTGAGGACAGAGGCTGGAACTCGGGATACTGGCCCCCGTCCAGGAACGGCACCTACAGGGGCGGAGGGCGGACAGAGGGGCGGAGAGGGGAGGGGAGAGGGGGGAGGGGGAAGGGGGGAGGGGGGGGGAGGGGGGAGGGGGGAGAGGGGGGAGAGAGGGAGGAGAGCGTGGATGGCATGTTGGGCGCAAGGGTAGTTGGACTCTCACACACGCACAGACGTTTGAGTCGACTCAAAAGTCAAATGCACACGCACACAGCCTGGCACTCGGGGTACTGGCCCTGACAATGAACGGCCCCTGGCATGGAGTGCGCCTGGTAGAGATACGGTACCAGCACAGCACAGCACGGCACAGCACAGCACAGCACAGCACAGCACGGCTGAGTTGACGCGAGCTGCCAAGGTGTTAGCCCTGCGCGTGTAAGCGTTGGATGGTATGGTTGACTGAACTCACACTAATCGACAGCTAACGTGCAGCAGGCACATTGTTTGTACCTGCATGATGACGAAGGGTATGACGGTGGCCATCATGATCCACGCTCCCAGGCGCGTCTGCTCGTCCGTGGTCACCCCTGCCATGCACAGGGCCGATACATGGGGCCCACATGTGACACACACAGAGGGGGGGAATGGGGGAGAAGGGGGGGAGGGGGGGAGAGGGAGGGTTGGGTTGGGAGCGAGGGCGGGAGGCTTCAACTTGGATGAAAAGTCGCGTCTGCTCGTCCGTGGTCACCCGTGCCATGCATAGGGGCGATACATGGGTCCACAAGTGACACACACAGGGGGTATGGGGGAGAGAGAGGGGGGGGATTGGGAGGGTTGGGAGAGGAGGAGAGAGAGGGAGGGTTGGGTTGGGAGCGACGGCGGGAGGCTTCAAGTTGGTTGAAACTTGAAGCGTCCCTCCCTCCCAGGCGCGCCTGTTCGCCTCAGAAACTAAGAATCATCTTGAGGCGCTTCAGAATCTCACCTGCACTTCCAGCCCACCAGTACTTTTCAAGTCCCAGGGGCGGGTGAGCGTCTTATCCTTAGCCACCAGGTCCACTCCCGTCGCTCCTCTGAGTGAGGTGCCTCAGAGTTGTGAGACAATCAATGAGGCGCGTGCAAAACTCAGTTTCTGACATGGTTGCTTAGTTGCTTCTAGAACCCACCTGTGCCTTTCAAGTCCCAGGGGCGCGTGAGCGTCTTGTCCTTGGCCACCAGGTCAACACTCCCGTCGCTCCTCTCCTTCTCCTCCAGGTCGCAGCGGCCGCAGAGCAACGAGCCCCCCCAGGCGACGGTGAGGATCATGACGGTGCTGCCTGCTAGCACACCCATTCCCACCAGCACCTCCTCCTGCGCCTGCTCCCTGCTGCCCCCCAGCCCGGATACCTGGGGAGTGGGGGGGTGGGTAATGGGAGTGTGGGTGGGGGTGGGAGAGAAGTGGGGGACGAGGAGAGGGAGGGTGCTGCCTGCCTGCACGCCAGCACGCCCATGCCCACCAGCACCTCCTCCTGCGCCTGCTCCCTGCTGCCCCCCAGCCCCGACACCTGCAGGGGGAGAGGGGGGGGGCAAAGGGGGGAAGACGGGGGATGGGGGGTGCGAGGAAAGTTGGGGACGAGGAGAGGGAGGGTGACGGGTTAGGGGAATGAGTGTGGACACCAGCACCTCCTCCTGCGCCTGCTCCCTGCTGCCCCCCAGCCCCGACACCTGCAGGGGGAAGGGGAGGGGGGGTTGGGTAGTGGGGCGTGGGGGTAGTGGGGCGTGGGGGTAGTGGGGCGTGGGGAGGTTTGCGGCATGGGAACGGGCGTGTGGCGTGTGGTGGCGTGTGGCGTGTGGCGTGGGGAGTGTGAGGTGCATGGGACGAGGGGTGCAGCGGGCGCACAGTAGAGAGCCCCCACACGCCGCAGTGAGGATCACGGCAGGGGCAGGGGATCACAATTCATTATGGTGCTGCTCACAAGCACCTCTTCCTACCAGTGCCTGCCCCTTTGAACCCCCCAGACCAGAGGTCAAGAGGGCACGCATGGCACGAGGTCAAGAGGGCACGCATGGCATGGGACTGACCAGAATGAGCACGGTGTCGGGCATTGCTCCCAGCATGGGCAGGAACAGCCCCCCGATGAGCCCTGGGTCCAGCACCTGGAGAGGGAGAGGAGGGAGGAGACGGAACGGAGGGAGGGGATGGAGGAGAGGGGGAGGAGGGAGGACGGGGGAGAGAGGGAGGGATAGAAGGGACGGAGGATAGGGAGGGTGGTCATCAATAAGTGGTAGGGGAATTGTCGTTATAGCAGATGCAGAAGTAGCAGAAGCCATCAGGTGAACCTCCATACTCAACTATTTCCTCCCCTTATCCCAGCCTCTCCCCCCGCCACCCTCCGTCCGTCCTTCGCTTCCCTACTCTGTAATCGTTTCCCCTGCTTTTCAACATATGCCCCCACGAACAACCACTCACATCACACCGCACCCCACCACATCCCGCCACACCACCCCACCCCCAACCACCGCACCCCACCCCACACCGCATCACTGCACACCGCACCGCACCTCCCAGCACCGCGCTGCACACCTGCAGCAGCAGCTCGGAGCCATCGGAAATGAGTCTAGCGGCGACGAGGATGATGTAACCATAAGCCACCATGAGAAACGCGTTGCCACCCACTGTCGTGCTGCACGGCAGCCAGCCATACGGCTCCCTGGGGGGTGGGGTGGGGTGGGGGAAGGAAGCAGGAAAGTGTACCGTTTTGGGGCAGTGTGGGTGGGTGGATGTGCTCTGATGAGCGCCATGAGAAACGCGTTGCCTCCCACCTTGGTGCTGCACGGCAGCCAGCCATACGGCTCCCTGGGGGGTGGGGGTTGGGGGGTGGGCAGGAGGAGAAGGACGCAACGGGAGTGTGCGTTTAAGAACAGTGATTGTGTGAAGGGGCGGTTGGATGTGTGTGGGGGGTTGGATGTGTGTGGGTTGAAGGGGGAAGTGCGCCGGAGGAAAGGGGGGGCGGGGGGGGGGGGGGGGGTGTGGGGGGGAGAGAACAAGCGAGAGTGGTGATCAGAGGGGAAAAGGAGCAGGGAGTGCGTGTGTTTGAGAGCCGTGAATCGTTGTCCGTGGAGTGGACCGTGAGAATACCCTGTGTATACCCTGTGTGAGCGAGGATGGATGGGCTCCGTGCACGAAAGTGAATCGAGCCAACTCTCCGCTTGCTCTGCAGTGCACTCTCTCAAGTCAAGCGTGAGCGGCATCTATTGAGTAGAGTCAGAACGCCTAGGCCCAGACGCACACTATGAGGTTCAACTGCAGTCTGGTCTGGTCTGGAACCTCGGACTTCCTACTTGAGGCACGGCGGAGCAACGCAACGCCTAAACCCAGTAGCACCCACTGCAATGGATGTTTGATCAGCGCCGTATTCCTCGTCCCGATCCCGAGCCCTTATCCCCACACGCACACACGCACACACACACACACGCACACACACACACACACGCACACACACACGCACACACACACGCGCCACGCGCCACGCGCGCGCTTCACTCACTCGCATCGCTCCTCCTCCTCATGCGCACGAGGCTCCGCCGCCCCTCCCTCTCTCCGCACCCCCGCACCCTGCTCCCCCTGCTCCGCATGACTCCCGTTCCCCCCTTGCTCCCCCCGCTCCCCCTGCCCCCCTCCACCGCGCAGCTCCCCCTCCCCCTCAGTGACGCTCACGATGGTGTCCGCCCGCTCCAGCAGCAAGTGGCGGGGGGCCGCGGAGGATGCAAGGGGGAAGGCGGAGAGGGGGGCGGAAGGGGAGGAGCGGGGGCGGTGGGCGGAGAGGAGGGATAAGTGCCGTGCCACGCCTGGGATGCCTGCTAGGGGGTTAGGAAAGACGGGGAAGGGTGGGGGAAGCGAATGAGGGGGGGAATGGGGGAGAGGTGAGGGAGGGGGTAAGAATAATGAAAAGCATCAAACCACACAGATACACGTTACAGTGACTGAACTTCCCACACACGCAGACGCTGCCACTCGCGCTGACGCTGACGGTGACGCTGTCGGAAGGGGTTCGGTTTAAGACGTCGCTCTTAGCAACACACACCCAAAAACAAAAAACAAAAAAGAAGAAAACATCACTCGCCCCACCGACGGCGGCGCACATGCGGGCACGGGTGGACGCACTTGTGACGGCGGCGAGCGCGAAGCAGGCGGCGGCGAGCGCCGCTAGCGCGCCCACGTGCATCCGGTGCCGCGCCTTCCGCCCTCCCATCGCGCTCCGCGACGTAACAGCAGCCCGCGCTTCGGCAAACTCGGAAGAACAAAAACCAGTCTGGCGCTCTCCCAGAGACCCCTCTTTCGCCGAGCCGACCAGACGTGCAGGGATAGGGTATAGCCTGCGCGGATACGGGCGAGGGGATCATGAGATGCAAGTACACAGAGAGGCGAAACCAAAAAAAAACAAAAACAAAAACAAAAAAAAAGGAATATGTATCTTGATAGGGAGGGTACGAAGAGGGCGGAAAAGACAAACTGGGAGTTCAAAGACAGAGGAAATGTTCGGGCGGCGAGTTTAGCGGCGGCGATCGTATTCAGCATTCTCAGAAGCAGCTAGCGGAAGGCGCGCGTGGAGCATGGCTGCATCAGGAGCTTCGCGGGGAATGGGGGCCTCAGGAGGCTACGGAGGATCGGGTGATTGGGGGATCGAGGGGTTTGGGAAGTCGGGTAGAAATCAGTAGGAAGGAAGAACTATCGATTTGTTTGGTCGGAAACGACAAGTTTTGCGGTTTCTCATTGTGCCGTCCGGCAGGACGCTGCCGGCAGGACGCGGACGACGAAGCTGCTGCGAACTTTCGCGACGGCAGCAACAGCGCGAGGGTTTCTGAGTTTGGTGCTCGTGTTATGGCGGAATTTTTTTCCTTTCTTTCTTTGCAGAATGGCAACCTTGCAGCGACTGAATAAATTACTGGCGGCATTTTAAGTTCCAAATAAATTCGAGCTGCAGTTGAGCTCCATACAAGTAGCTGAAACAGGTTCGACGGGCTACTGATTGGACGCGCGACGCGAGGAGTGGGCGGTATTTGAACGGAAACCGTCAGTTAGAACTGGATCGTTCTAGGAAAGAACGGAACAAGCTCGCGAATGGTTCGCCGGAGAAGGAACATCCAGGCAAGTCAAACGCGATGCGGCGGTTTTATTAAGGGTTTGAGGAGAGGAATGCTGGGAAGCACTGACGAGATACTACGAGAGAACAAGAACAGGAGACAGCGAGAAAGATACCGCTCTTCCGGTCGATTTTGATAACAGCAGGAACAAAGCTGACTTTAATGGCGGCACAAGTAAGATACCGAGTAGAAGACGGGGAAAAAGAGCGGAGTGAAGCTTGAGTGGAAGACGGGGAAACAGAGACGGATGAGTGGAGCTGACCGTACAATGCGCGGGGACGACGATGTCGGGGCGCAAGGAGGAAAGAAATCTCTTCAGGGACTGTCAGTATGGCGGCGACGGATAGAGGAATGCCGCCGGGTCAGCAGACTGGCGAAGGATCGGCGAACCCTGAATGACCGCTGCCGGAACGATGCTACTTAATTCGAACACAAGGCGCGAGTAATTAGCGGACGACACTGAGCACCCACGCCCTTGCTTGCTGGTAGGCCGGTTTCGTTGTGGCACTGTATCTAGCGCCTCCGGCTGACAAGAGCAAAAAAAGTTCTGAGACGTCTCGAGGCTTGCTGGCAAGCCTGTTGGTAAGTATGCTGCTGTGTCTAGCGCCTCCGTTAAAAACGGCAAGGAAATACTGCGGCTAGTCCATCGACGTCAGCAAAAATGACGTTCAGACTTGGCCAAGGAAGCATCTGTACTCTGCAATTCAGGAAAGCATCAGCTGTGCTGCCGCTGACGTTCTTGTTGTCATTTGCCAAGGACAAACGCCGCCATTCCCCCTGGTGACCTGGTCCCAAAGGGAGAGTGAGGGACGCAGAAGAGGCCAAACATTGTGGGAGAGGATAAGGCGTGTGAAGGTTTGCGGGGGCCAATACAATACAGTACACACACGTCTATGTACACGTCTATATAGAAGGAAACACGGCGAAAACATGGGACTGTAGGCGCGTGCGCGGGTCTTTCGATGGGACTTGGCGCGAAAGGTGATAGATGGATGGGTCAGGATGGCACTGTATCTTGGTTTGGGTGGCGATTGGTTGTGATAAATTGTGTAACTGTTCCGCTGGTGAATTGTGTTTCAGCAAGGGTCCACTCGCTTACAAGCATTTTATGTCAACCTCAATCAAGCTTGCAAGAATAGTACCCTATTCATTTTTTACACCATGCTAATTGAATGGATGTACTTCTGCATGTCTTATCCACCTTAGAAAAACTTTCTACATTGTACATAACGAGCAATTTCCTGCTCCACATAAGGTATAGGTATTTTATCTTCCCCATCATCCCTATCACCCCAACCCCACCCACCCAACCCAGCATGTAACTCACCTCTAGACTACCTTGTCAGCATTTCAACACAACTTTAGTTGGTGGAAAAGATTAATATGGAGCAAGATCACAGATGCAGTATGCACTTTATTAGGCTTTCCAATCAAACACACATTAAGTATGAAACCAGGAAACAGGAGCAATCAACGCTCGCCATTATTCCCCTCTACAACATCGCCACATCATCGTGTTAGTAGCATTCCCCCAATCTCCCAAGTACAGCCCCAAGAACACAACCCAATCGTCACCTTTGCTCCCCAGATACTTGTCTTTACCCTCGTCCCATGATCTTATTACCTTCGACTCAGTTTTAGTAGTGTTAAGTAATCAGTAGCGCCATCAAAACTGCCCGTTATCTCCCCTGGGCGCTTAGTCGTTTCCCCGGCCCTCTTCTCCCGCGAAGCTTCCCTTCCTTGTCTCCAGCCTTCACTCCGTCTTGTTGCCCTTCCGCCGCCACTGCTGTCGTCGTCTGCTCCGTTTGACTGACTCCTTCTCCTGCCGTCGCGTCTACCACTGTCGCTTCAGCAGTCCGCTTAGGCTTGAACGGTTTCCTCGTCTTGTCCAGCGCGTACGAGTAAGTCATATAATGCGCCTGCGTGTGTCGGAGCAGCACGTAATCCTTCTCCTCCAACCCCTTTTCCCACGTCGGCTGCCAGTCGCGATTCCCGCGCGTCCGCGCGCAAGCAGGCGCTTCCTTCTCGTCCATCTGTCGCCAGTAGCACCCATCCACAGACAGCCCGTGAAACCCGGCGCGGAACGGCGCGTGCGCCCAGTCGATCTTCAGCGCGCCGTACTGCGTCGCCCAGGAGCTCCCATCCCACAGCGACGCGACCAGGAACATCGACGAGGACGGGAACGGGTCGTTCCCCACCGCCGTCTTGCACGCCTCGCGGATCAGAATCCCGTCGACGAACCAGCGGATGCAATCGGGGTTGACTTGGAACGCGTAGTGGTGGTAATCCGCCGCCGGGTCGAACCAGAGCTTGAGGCGCTCCTCGTGCCCGCCGACGCCCTGGCCGTACCAGTTGGTCTGCAGAATCACGTCGCTGGAGAAGCGCTCGCCGAGAAACTCCATGTCGACCTCGTCGTGGAAGTCGCCGGGCCATGAGGCGTTCCATTCCGAGTGTAGCTGGTGGGGGAGAGCGAGAGGGAGACGCGGGGAGAGAGGGGGATGTGTGGGGGAGAGAGAGGGAAAGAGCACAGGTCATGTTCAGTGAGAACGAAAAACGGAAGGGTACCACTAGCAGAGTGCAGTCCAGCTTATATGAAAAACAGGCGCACTGCGTCTGACAACATGAAACGAGACGTAAGTTCGACGTACATAGAAGGCCGTGACAACGCCTGGCGTGTATCCGGACGGCACTTTGATCCATGAAGAGAACCACCCGTTGTAGTACGGCTGGTTGGACGACCAGCCGGATCCGGACGCTTTATCGAGAGACAACTCCGCGCGGCCGTCATCCGATACAGTCACGTTTCCCCATGTCACGCGAAAATCTTTGTGGAACGGATGCGACAGCTTAGCAGTTACTGACGAGTCCGTGGCGGAGTCGGATACCAGGCCTTCGCAAAATAGTGGGCACAGGAGAAAGGGAAGCACCAGGAGAGCAACGACACGAGTTTCTGGTAATCGGGAAGTTGTGGCCGACCGTCTTGAAGCAGACGAGCCCTGTCTAATAAGTCTCCGGTCAACAACTGTCTCGGCTTCCATCGTCATCGTTTCAAAAGATGAGATAATTTGTGAGGTCAGATGGCCTAGTGATGACGGCTGAACCCAAGGAGGACGGGTGAATGTAATAAGTAAGGAACCTATTATGAAAGAAAGTATGGATATGCTCTTATTGAGAGGAGTGAGCTGAGGAAAGTAGAAGTGTTGATGTTGACAGCAAGAGCAGTCAAACCGCTAAGCTACGTACTCGCGTAGATGCAAGCAGAGTTAAGTTACCACGTACGCCAGTCATCTGGCGTCACGTAAAGGGACAACGCAACTAACCTTACTGATCCCTACCTGAGCTACCGTAAGCGAACGCGTACTCTTGAAAACAAAACTATAAATGCAGTGGTTTCGATAAGGCAAGTTACTACGTGGGCCAGGAGAGAGAATGGGTCGTTTGGCTGAGGAGATCTCGAGGGGACGAGCAGTCGAAGATGTGCGCGATGAGATGGGATGCGATGCGAGCCGTCGGATGCTATCCTTTCGCTCTGCTGCTGCGTGTGTGGCTCGATGGGAAATGATTTTCTCCACGCATCACGAGAGAGCGGCGGCGGCGGCAAGCCAGAAGTGGTAGCAACAAGCACGGACAAAGCTGAGGAGCTCCCTCACTTGCCTCGCCTTGCCCTGGGTCTTCCCGACGGTGCTCACGGCCTCGCAACGAAGCGCGGTGCCTTGAAGGCGAAATTCAAAATCAATGTTCGTGGTGGTGAGTAGCCTTGCCAAGATCTTTCCGTTTCAGTTCATCCCACGGCTCCCGCCTGTGAAACAGTCCAAGCCCAAGGACGCATCAGCCTGGGATGACATGAGGCGCGACTCTCTAAAGGCTGGGTGGGTTGGGGAATAATCATCCAAGGGGATGCTCCAGGGCTCAGAACAGATGTCCCTCCCAAGGGTGTCTGATCTGAACTGGACCACGTTACCCGTTCTGGCCGTCAGAATCGGCATGAAGGAACGCCCTTGGTGATGATTTGGCTTGCCGAGCAAGAGGAGGGAATGTTATCGAGGCGCCGTCGTTTCGCGGCGCCCTTGGTTTCGTTTCGGGCTTTCTGTCACGTGAGAGATGTGATGGGTTTGTGAGCGACTCCTTACATGTTGAGGTGAGACGTGACATGATGGGCTGGATTCATCATGATAGGCATGCCGAGAACGGTTCAAAAGTATATCTGAATGTTACGCTTCGGTTTAGATGGTAAAGCTACCCCACTTTCGCGAGGCGCGTCGAACGTGACATGTTCAGCCTCTGACCCTTCCATCGGCCACAGCTCGCCTCCTCCACTCTAAGGAGGCGCGAATTCCTCGAAAGTTACTCGAATTGAAAGGCCCAAACTGGCGGCTCGATGGCGTTTCTCCACAACATTGATGACGAACCCGTTCTCGTGCGACAGGACCGTGAGGTGAGCTGCAAGGGCATGTGCGACGGGTATGCTCTCCGTGACGTGTGCAATGCCAGCGACGCGCCAAAACCTCCAAACTTTCAGCACCACCCGCCTAAAACCGATGGCAGGTTGGCCCTGGCAAGCACACCGACAGAACCAAGCTAGGAGATTCGATTGGGGGTTTGTGCTGCTTACGAGTCACCATATTGAATAAATAAATTGTAGGTAAATAGTTTATAATCTATCATTCAAGTGGAAAATACTGTGTCCAAGAGCATAAAGCACCATAGCTACATATGTACAAACTCTCAACGCCATATTCAGACCTCTTTTTTTTTTTAATTCAGGATTCCCTGGGTTTTGGGAGCAAAACTTGTTCTAACTAGCTCCCTCGATTGCCGACATAGGCTGGCCAGCAAGAAAAGTGTAAAAAAAAAACACTTCGGGTATTACACTTCCCGTAACCAGTACTACGGTATTGGAGCTAGGAGTGCCAGCTGGGGGGTGGTAGTGCACCCTAACTCAAACCTATTGAAGACACCTTTACGGTAGCTATATGGAAAATGGATGATGACAACCCACTCTCATACAGTAACAAACACCCTCTGCACTGCTTCTAATTGACACGTGATTTTGACATGAACAAGAGCCTCACTCCCTCTCTACGTGAATGTGATTTGGCAACAATGTCGACGTCATAAGCTAAGCCCTGCCAAAGTCAACAACAGCCAATGAAAGGACACTGAAAGCACCTTTGCTAGAAGCCTTTTACATAATGTTGCTTTAGCACCTGGTCAACGCATTGGCCAGTGCACCAGAAGCGGTATCATGTGTGCACCAAAAAAATAAATGCATGTATTATTATTTTTATGTTTTACTTTACACAGGCCAACGTGAATGCGGAAATATAAAACAACGAATCATCTCCCAACCCAGATAGACCCAACGTAATGGGGTTACCCTAATCGAGTTCTACATTACACCTCCACAAGATCCTTCACGAGATACTCCACGCCAGCATATTCCTTCTCCTCTGGCAGGGGTTTACCCTGGTACGTCGTGTACTTGCAGTCGGGGGCCAAGACAGACGACGTCTCGTAGTCAGACGGCTCGCCGTCGAGGAATCCCTTGCCGGTGACGCCATCAGCTGCCACCGGGTGGTGGAGCAGTTGCGCAAGCGCAGAGTAGTCCAAAGCGCGCTGTCCGCGGCCCGTGCGGTAGGTTTGGCCCATGACACCGTGAATAGTCTCCGTGGGAGTGACTCCTTGGAACTGCACGTTCAGGTGAGTCTCCGCGTCCTCGTCCGTCTGCAGCAGCGGGTGGGCGATGCGCGCGCGGACGTTGAGCGAGATCCGTCCCTCAACGTTAACGTTGTACTCGTCGACGTCGAACGGCCCAGACTTGGCGTAACCGGTGAAGGTGATCGCGAGTCCGCCGGCGAGATTCTTCGTCTCTCCGACCTGCATCTTGGGAATCACCTGTCCATCGAGCTCGATGCGCTCGACGAAGCCATCCTCGCGCTCCTGGTCCTTGCCCTTGCGCGCGACCATGAGCAGCTTGTGCTCCTCGCCGCCCGTCACGGCGCGCCAGATCACAGCGAGCTCGCGGATCCAGGTCCGCACCGCCATGCCGTTGACGAGAACCGAAGCGCCTATGGTGCGCTTGTCGTAGTATCCGTGCATCTTCATGTTCACCTGAACGTCCTTCTCCGTCAGCAGACAGAAGGATTTGTCGGGCGAGCCGTTGAACTCGAAGCGCGTGCCGTGCGCGCCAAGGAAGTGCGGATCGTTCTTGGTAAAAGGGCAGGCCTTGCCGATACGCGCGCATTGAAGGGTACCGTTGCACGAGGGGATGGTTCCGGAGGGGAACAGGATGCACTTGCCGCACAAGGAATCGGAGCAGCTCCCGGATCTGCGGTAGAAGAGAGGGAAGTACAAAAAAGAGCGACATAAACATTATGATTATCAGCGAACGCTACGAGACAAAACGACATGCAGCTGGGAATGGAAGCTGCGACGGAAGAGTACTTACGGGCCAGTAGCAACGTGCATCCAGAAGGCGCAGCTGAAGGAAGTGCTGACAGAGCCGGCCGTAAGATTCGCGCACTTGTTACAGCACGTGATGGGCTTGACGGCCCCTCCACCGCAGAACGGCTTGTTGGGGCTGGTAGGGTAGGTAATCGAGCAGTTGACGTAAGGAACGACGTATTTACCGAAGATACCGGCAGAGTTATTGCACATGCCTTGCGAGCACAGGCCGTAGAGTGGTGGACAGTCCTGAACGCAATCGGCGGACGATAGGGAGACGCATGCTAAGGCAATGAGAGCCACGAGCAGGAAAGAACCGCGCCGGAACTCCATGGCGGCAGCGATCAGTAAATCAACGAGCCCTGTGGATACCTAGACTTTCGTGAACTCACTAAGGAAAAGAAATTGCGCCTTGGCAAATGTAAGACACTACGTTCTAGCCGAGCAGTAGTTGCACGACTAAACCCTAGCTCTCAGGGAAAGAATCTTCCAGCTTGTGCTGTGATGTGATGCTTGCTGTGTTGAAAGGTGGGACGGGAGTTTTGACAAGATGAGATGGGTTTGGTGAGATGTTGTCGCTTGACGCAGAGAGGACACGGTCCTGGCGAAACGATCTGTGCGGAAACTGTTCAGGGTATGCGCCGGGCTGACAAACTATAGAAAACGACAAGTGCGGATCCGTCACCACACCTGACCAAGCATCCGAGAAACTGCTGCCGTTATGTACGGAGCAGCCCATTCGTTCGTTTCGCTGTCAATTGCCTGGGTACACTGCTCCGTCAGGGGAATTGGCTGGGAAGTGCTGCGTTCTGGTGTTTTGGTTTTGTTCCGTTACAGTACAAGGAACTCTTGTACGCAGCATTCGACACCTCCATTTGGTTCGGGTCCGGTGACGGGAATCGTCCAACAAACCTGCATCCCATTTTCCTGACCTTGAAGTCCACGCTTGACCTGCTTCATGACACAGATTTCTGGCTCCTTCAACTCCCTGACGATTCCCATGCTCATTGGAAGCGAATGCAAAACCGAGTCGCAGGTTTCCTTGGGCACGAGCAAGAAACGACCAAGCCCAAGAAGTTTTTTGACACACACAGACACCTGAGGCGATTTGAAAGGAGACCGCGATGGGGAACGACGAGAGCGTGCTGAACCCCCCTTCTCAATGTGACTTCCACTATAATCATAACTCGAATAAAAGGAATCAGCAAATGCCATAAAACATCTGTTGTTTGTAAACCATATCTGTTATGTAAAGTTAAGTATTGAAAAACATTGCTAACATGGTGTCAGTCGATTTGATTGACGCATAGGTGATAATTATCGCCTGAAGCTGATACTTGGATGAGGCTAGATCAATTCTTAGAATATAGGGTCCTCACAGCCTTATTTGGTGAAACAAGGTTCGGTAGAGACAGAATAAATGGAATGTGCAAGCAGGCAACAGTATGCACATGGCAAAGAGGAAACGGCCGGGGTCTTCTGGACAAACAAAAACCAGCTAAGGGAGACATTAGAATGCTTATACCAAGTGTAGAGAGCCTGCTTGCCATTGAATATGCCAAGCATGAAACGAGTGCACAGCTTGTCCACAAATCAGCGCGATGTCTGCATCTACTACTGGAACCTTATCCACATGCGACCACTGTGTTCCCCCTACAGCTCATCCAGACGTGGCAGTAATATTTTATGACGTGTCAGTAAAACCTAGTCGGGGTTCAGACCGTGCTGACAAAATTTTCAATACATACATGGCTTGGTGAAGTTGTTATATTCACAGGCAAACGCTACACTTCTGAGATGTTTTCGTGGAAGCAAGGGGGATACCAGCATCCGCGAATTTCTTTTTCACCAGCCCAGACTAATGTGTGCGGTGCGGTGTGTGTGTGGATCCAGGGAATCCATTCACTGTACATGTGCGGCTCGATCACTTTCCAGCCACAACAGTTTAGCCCCCACCCCACTGCACCAACAGCCTGGGCCTCCCCTGACCCGAACCCACCATGCATTCCCCCGAAGGCGCGGCTCAAAGCGGCATTGATCACACCAGTCCTTTTCCCCCGTGCAAGGCGAAGCAAGTAAGCTGTGGTTGTGGCTCTTGCTCTGGCTCTGGCTGGCTCAAGCTGTGTGTTGCGACTTTCCCGTCCCAATAGCGCCAGGTGTACCTCGGCGTAAATCAATTCGCAACCAATCCTGCCAGCAGATCAGACAGGCCTCACATTGTAAAACTGCGGTGTAGGAGAAGCGCGGGAGAAGCGAGAGAAGCCCCAGCATGAGGACTAGTGGTGATCAACTGCGCCAAAGCTCAAGGCCCACGGAGCAGGGAGAGCCCCAGGAGCAAAACACTGGTGGTGACTGGTCTCTTCGCTCTCCCCTCCCCGTCACTAATCTTCCGCCATGGTGACACGATTATGGGGATGATGACGTGCTGAGGTGCGGCGGGCGGCAAACTGCCAGCCAAGGGACGGCGGAAAGCGGAAGCGGAAAGTAGCCCAACCCAATCCACCTGTCCCGCTGTAGCGTTGTCCCACTGTACTGTATTGTTTTCTCGGAGATATTCTGCCCGCGGGTTTGCTTGATTGCCAAGCGTAGCCAATATGCCTGATTAGTGAACACACGGGGCGCTGGTCGAGGGAGAGCTCTTACGTACAGTACAGTGCTTCCTCGCCTGTATTATTTTGGCATCCTTGACGCTCTCATTCACCCTCGCACGCACCCTCCCTCAAAGCAGCGCACCAAAGAAACTTTGGAAGGTAGTGCGTGCGCCACACGATGAAACCCGATCCGAGTCGCGCCTCCGCGCAGTGCATTTACGAGTGGATGAGATGATTGGAGCGCCATGCATCAGGGGCAAGGAAACAAACAAGCCCCGACTCGCCAAGCTTCTATCCACACCAGAATGCTTCCACTCGAGGGAAAATATTCGAAGAATCGTTCAGGCTTCCCAGCTAAAGCTTGAAGACCAGAGTCCAGATGAGAGGAAGGGTAGAGAGAGCAGGGAGAGTGCTGGCAAGAGCCGCCTCACCGCAGCAATGCCTCAGTGTCGACGCGCCGAAGTGGATAAGGCCCTCAGGGATCGAGGATAGCGTAGCAAGGAGTGATTGTGTACGCCTCAGGACCGGTTTTCGCTTTTCAGAGGACCTTTTCGTAACAGCTTATCCCAGAGCCTGTACATAGATTCAGTACAACGACTGCGTGCCACTAGAAGCATATGAAGCCTCAGCCGCATGAAGTCGAAAAAGAGAAACGTCATCGGCCATTGATCGCATGGTGGGTCTAACACCATCTGCTTAACACCGTCACGGTTACTCTTTATCAGGTCGATCTACTAGAACATAGAAGAGCTCTGACTGACGACTCGTCAGGACCGATCACCGTCAAGCGCCATGACCATCGCATCGCAACCGTACATGACGACCTACTACTGCTAGTACTGCGAGTGCGGTGCAATCGCGCATCTTCGCAACCCCGTCAATATCATTATATCAGTTCCAACCAAATTAGGATACTCTCGAAGGTCACCAGGCCGTATTGCACGCTGCGGGTCGGTCCGTCCGTCTTCAACACTCCGTTCGACTCCGCTCATCCCTCTCCCGTCCATCCGCCGTCGCGCCCTAGCCAGTCCCGTCACGTACACTCCAAGCAGCGTCCGCACATGTCGCCGGGTGCGACAGCTCTCACCATGACGCACCTTCCCTCCGCCGCGACCGCCGCCGCCATTCCCGGCGACTGCTACTATGGTGGGTCCTGGGGGGAACCGACGGGAGGGCGCGACTCAGCGTGGAGCCGCGGGCATGCCAAGTGCGACGGCAATGGCGGAGCGAGTCTTGGTGCTATCGACGGTCACAACAACGGCAACGGCGGCGGCAACGGCAATGGCACGAGGGTTTTTAGTCCACCGGACACTGATCGCCATGGGGAAGGCAGCGGAGACGGCGCCGCCGGCAGCGGCGTCACGAATGCTACAGCTGTCGCGATGACGGTTCCATCGACGGCTGTCGACGCATGGGGATCGTCCCCGCGATCGGCGATCCGATCGTGCAACGCGAGCGCGGCGCCGCGATGGATGGACCCGCGCGGCGGCGTGGCCGTTGCGGCACCGGATTTTACGGTGACGACGGAGGCGGCGGCGACGGCGGAGGTTGCGGACGAGGACGACGAGTGGTTGAGCATGGACGTCGCGAGGGAGTGGGAGGGCACGGTTGCTGCGGAAGCCAAACAGCGGAAAACGCGCGAGCGCGAGACGAGCAGCACAGGCTGCTACGGGCCGTCCTCGGAGCGCGCGAGCGGGTCGAAGCGCCGGGCCTGCGCGGATCTCGCTGGCGACGCGCCAGTGACGCTTGGGACCCTTGCGACGGCGGTGCTGTCGCCCGCGATTACTGCTGGAGATGCTGCGACGATTGCGAGCGACAATGTCTCTGGAGGCGGGTCGGATTGGCGAGAGGACACCGCGCCGTGCGTCCGCGCGGACGCGTGGGACGGGGGAAACCACGCGGAGGCGATCCCCGCGGCGGGAGAAGCGGGCTGCGCGTCAGGGGTGGGCGGAAGCCATGGGGGAGCCAGACGGCGAGGGGAGGCGCAAACGGGAAGCCAGGGGGGAAGCCATGTTCCGCCATACGCGGGCGGGGAGGATGCGCGGGAGGAGAGGAAGCAGAGGCGCATGGTGAGCAACCGGGAGTCTGCGCGACGGTCAAGGCTACGGAAGCAAACGCACGTGGATGCGATGAAGCTCAAGGTATGGCATGGCGGGCCCAGGAACCTAACGCACCTGGTCGAGACGGGCACTCCACTCCCCCCCGCCTTCTTTTCTTCTCCCCCTCCCACTCCTGTTCGTTTCCGTCCCCTGCGCATGCACGTGCCCCACATGTTCTTGCTTCCGGAACCGCAACAACAACTAACTCTCCCACCTCCGTCCGTCCCCCACATGCTCAATCCCCAACGCTGTATTTCTGCAGGCGAGCAGGCTGAAAGGCCACAACGCGGACATGGCGGCGCGCCTCACAACAGCCTCGGAAAATCTCAACCAGATCACGCGGGAGAATCGCCTGCTGCGATCGCAAGCCACTGACCTCTCGCGCCGCCTGCAGAGGCTACAGTACCAGATCGCTGCAGCGCAACACTCGCACGCCCACGCGCAGCTCTCCCACTCACAGGCCCAGTCCTACGCACATGCGCACGCACTCTCCTCTCTTCCGCACCCACAATCCCTCGCCCCGCATCCCTTCCCCTCTTCTTTATACGAGCCTCCGGCTGCTTCAGCCGCCGCTGCCGCTGCAGCTGCTGCTGCCGCTGCTGCTGCCGCTTCTGCAATGCATTACGGCGGGATTGACGATCAGCTCCACATGCTTGAATCTCCCAGGCTCAGCCTCCATGGGCCCATGTTTTCTCAGGCCCTGCCAAGCCATGGACTAGGCTCGAGCTTGGGAAGCATGGGGAGCATGAGGGGCATGGGGGGCATGGGGAGCATGGGGGGAATGGGAGTGCTCAGCAGCTTAGGAGCTGCCTCCAGCTTGCCGGGTTTAGATGGAATGGGAAGGCTGGATTCGCACATGAGCGGCACCTTGGGCGGGCTGGGCCATGCGCTGGGTGGGCCAGGCCATGCTTTTGCGGCAAAGCCGACGGCAAAGCCGACGGCAATTCTGTCAGGAATGGATCCTGCTGCAGCAGCTGCCAGTGCAGCAGCGGCCCACTGCCGAGCACAGTACGGGTTGAGTTTGGCATCAAAATATTCAGCAGGCACGAGCTATGCCGCATCTCCCTGTCTTTTTGATCCATACTAAACAGTTCAGTGTATGCTGTGCGGGGATTTTTGAAAGAGTGACTGCATGGCAAGACTCTGTGTGTAAATCATATCGGTTGAATAAAACTCCATAAGGAGGCTGATAGTCAAAGCAAGCTGTTGGACATTGTCGTGCATGCGACACCACACGGGCTCCGCCCAATCGGAGCCGACTCTAGCGGCGTAAAATATGTTGGCCCGTGCGATTGAGCGTTCGGTTCGGTCAAGGTCGGGCGGTGTTCAGTTGAAGCGGGGTAGGCCACTCCGCAGAGCACAACACCGTATCCAACCTCGTTTACTGAAAGTGAGCAACCCGTTGTATATACGCGTCTGTTTTCTTCAATGGTATTATTTTTGGACACTGAAAATACACACCAGTACAGTAATACATCAGAAAAATAGTAACAGACCCATTTCTGTTGAAGAGAGGCAAGAAACAACCGCTAGGAGGAACCCTAGAATGGACCAACGATGACTACTCTAACAGGTGATTACAACACCCTGTATGGGGCACACGCATGTGCACGTCCAACAAATCATAGGTAGATCGTGGCCAACAGGGCAACCTACCTACACTAGGCACAAGCATTAGGCGATACATATCTAAACAGTACGGTAGCAGTAGCAGCAGCAGCGTGCGTAGATGCAACATGGTTGTAGTGACCAAAGCTAGGTATTAGGTAAGCTTGTGGCATCTCAAGGCAAGCCCTGATTGCAGGGACACCCCAAATGATGGTGCGCGTGGGAATGTATGGGAGGCGGTGGGTCGAGAAAACCGAGCCATGACGGGAGTAAGAGGTGAGGACTAAGGAGTTCACGCGAGGGAAGATATCAAGGTAACAGGGGAGGCACATGGAGGTTGGGAGTGAGAGAGAAAGTGTGAAAGATATAGAGGCTGTGGAGGATACAGGGTGTGCAGAGGAGACTGACAGAAGGAAAAACGGGTTGGAGGATGCTGCGGGGTGAAGGTGGGAGAGGGGCTAGAAGGCTAGAGGATGGCACAGCTGCAGCCGTGGCTTGGACCTCTGTCGTCACTTGCCTCATCCTCACAGCTTGACTCACTGCGTGCATGCGAGCAACAGCCGGCACAGACAGTACAGGAGAAAGAGAGAGAGAGAGAGAGAGAGAGAGAGAGAGAGAGAGAGAGAGAGAGAGAGAGAGAGAGAGAGAGAGAGAGAGAGTCAGAGAGAGAGAGAGAGTCAGAGAGAGAGAGAGAGAGAGAGAGAGAGAGAGAGAGAGAGAGAGAGAGAGTCAGAGGGAGAGGGAATAGTGAACGCGAGAGTGTGCATTGTGGGACGGGAAGAGATGGGTATGGATAAGTTCGTTTTAAAAAGGTCCAAATAGGGACTAATAATTTGGCTCACCACAATTATCGAATGTGTGACCCTTGCACCTGCCACTGACCATATAGAAGACCTCCCTCCCTCCCACCCACTTTCAAACTCACCTCTTACATTCACGCACGCGGTCACGCCCTCACAAAAGCCCCTTTCACCACCTCCCCACTACTGTCCCTGGCCACTCTCACCTGGGTTCGAACTCGCGCACGTCAGCCAGCGTGAGCCCACGGTCGTCGGGCCACTGCACCTTCTTGCCCTGCCGCTCGCCATTCCACTCCACCACGCGCTCTTCCACACCTACTACCACTCCCACGCCCACGCCCACGCCCACGCCCAAGCCTGCTTCCGCCTCTTCCTCTCCTCTCACACCGTCCGTCTCCCCGCTTTCGCCCGCTCCTCCCTGCGGCTCTGCTTTCTCCCCCTCCCCCACGCTCTCTTCCCCTGACGACTTTTCGCCCTCCACTCTTCCGCCGTCCCCTCTCTCTTCTGCCGTAGCTTCCCCGTCTGCTTCGCAAGCCAGCCTCGCTGCATCCTCCGCTCCCCGTGCCGCATTTTGCGGCGGCGTCCGCGCGTCCGTCTCGTGCGCCTTGCCTTCTCCGCCGTGCGCGCCTCCGCCAAGGGCACTCTGCGCGCCCCACTCCCCAACTGCTTCCGCCACGACCACCATCTCTTCCGCCTTGATCAATGCCGCGTTCTCCGCGTGATGCCCCTGTCCTTTCTTTTCCCCAACCTCCACCCCCTCCCCCTCCCCATTTCCCTCCCTCCCCCCCTCCACCTCCACCCCCACCTCCTCCGAAGTGCTCGTCGTGACGTTCGCTAAATGCTCTCTTTGCGACTCTGCCTCTGCCCGCGACGAGTCTGCGACGACTAACGACGGCTGCTCGCGCTGCGCCTGGTCGCCTTGCGACAGCAATTCGCCTGGTTCGGCACGCGCCGCATCGCCAGCTGTCGCATAACCCAGTGGAACACCAAGCTGCGACTGGGCGACACCAGGAACAGCACTCGATCTCACGGAGCTTGTCTGCGCTACAGAATCGCCGCCGCCGCGATCTTCTTCTATCGAGGCCCCCAATAACGAGGGGGCCTCTGCTGGCGCATCCACTGTGGCGGCGAGCGGAAGGAGGTGGCGACGCGGTTAAGAGACGGACGGCGGTCGGGACGGGCCTTTGGTGCATCTACCAGCGAGCTACCACTACCGCGTTAACATACCCTCCGCATGGTCAAACCAGCGGCGCGCGCGGGAGCTGTCATGCGTCGCATGCACGTGGCGGGCCTACGAAGAGTCACTTCCCGTCTCTTCCCGCCCTAAGCCAGTAACTCGGCTCGAAAAGCACGCAAGAGATATGAGATTGCGGGCCTTCGAGGGCGGTGGCAAGCCAGTCGGATCGGCTCGTACTAGCAGCCGTTCAGATCGCTTGACGTGGCTAAGCTCGCGAAATGAAAGGTCGTCGAGAAGCTGCGTCGACCTGGAGCAGTATAAGTAGTTAAATAAGGCGAAAGGATAATGCCGAGTCGGCTAAGGTACGGACTCTTTCTCTACAGATGATTGGCAGCGTCAGGCGGTGTAGCTTCGAAGGGTGCATACGCTGGTTCTTGAAACTAAGGAGACTATAGCGACGGTGGATATAGAGAGCGGTCACGTTGAGAGGATATTCAACGCGCCGGCGCGGAAATGCCGCATTAAGCCAATGGGGTTGGAGGCCTAAATGCCGGCCTATAGCCTCAGACGCGACGGCGGCCCAACTTTCCCGTCCAAGATCTTCGGTTTGTAATGGCGACGCTACACGAAAGTGAGAGGCCGACGACTAGTGAGAGCTGAAACGAGACGCTGGACCGAAGAGAAACCCTCCTTGAGTAGGGCTTTCTGTGACGCTGGAGGAGACGACCGCTAGGAAAATGCTCCAACACCGCGACAGGCCTTTCGCCAGCACCGCGGCTTCTCCTCCCATCCACCTTAACATACAAAAAGCGTCTCGCTGCAGGGTGAGAGAATGCGCAAGCTTTCAGCAGCAACGGAACGGCCTCGCGACAACAGCGGAAAAGAAAACAAGCGACTATATACTAAAAATAAATACACCCCGAGCCTGCCTGCTCTGTTCTGCGCTGCACCTCACTTCCTGCAGAGCCTTTACCATTTCTGTTCTATCGGAGGTCCCTCTTTCCCGCTGCTCTGCTCCTCACCTCCTCCCTAGCTCTCGTCGTGAGCACCAGTTTTGGCCTTTTGGAACGTTGGGCTTGATTCGGGCCTAGGGATTTGGTTCGGGCCTAGGGATTTGGTTCGAGCGTCGAGTTTTCTGGTTAGGCGTTGAGCTAGGCTTGGGGCCTCGGGATTAGTTCGGCATCAGGTCAAGGTGGATGGTTCGGAGGGGTACACCCACAACGTGCCTGTAATCGCTAACAATTAGTTACACTCAGAAATGTTTTTTCACGTGAGGTCCAACGGTCTTGGTAAGTGCGCTTGTGTGACCTCGTTCAAAAGGGAATTGAAGGCCTTCGCGGTACACTGGTCCCCTACAAACGTTGTTCTTCCAAATCTTTACAATAAAAATATATGTAGCTTTGTTTGGTGGACAGGAAGCATCTTCACTTACCGTATGACAGCTTTTGTATCCCTACCGTGCACACACAACATTCCACCAGTCATTATTTTTTTTTGAAGCATCCATCCAAATCCCAAGCAGTCACTGTTGTGGCAGTGGGCTCCAAACAAAACACAGTTCAGTCTAGATGGCAGGAAGAATTTTTTGTTTACAACGGACACTGCGGTACACTAGCATGTTCGTACAAAGACCACAAGGTACACATACAGTAGGCCAGAAATACAAGAGCAAGTATTCACCAAATGTTTTGCCAAATTGCCACATCATAAGGATACAGTACCGGTATCGGTTGGTTGAAATGAACCAACAAGAACCTCACGAAGTCACAGAAAGTCAAGGACAACAACAGAGACACACGGGTCAGTGTGCAGTGCAAGCATTGGGAATTCAGAACATGCACGGGATCAGCCAGGCATAACACTCCCTTTCACACAACCCTTTTCGCCCAGCCCCTTTCACCAGAACCAGTCATCTTTTTCTCCCTCATCCGCCCACCCTCCCCACGTCCCCTTATCTGTCAACTTCCTGCCGACTCCCACTCCCCCTCCCTCCTCCCCTCCCTTGCCACACACCGGCTGCTCCCTCTGCTCCTTCACCTGCTCACTCCTCTCAACCCTCTCACTCTTCTCACCACCCTCTTGCTTTCCCCTACCCTCCCTCTTCCCAACCACTAGAGTGATAGACCGACGCATCACCTTGCCCACCACACTCTTGCTCCCTCCCTCCTCCTCCTCCCTCCCCTCCTCCTCCTCATCCTCCTCAACCACACCACCAGCAACAGAAGGAACACCACGTGTCGCTCCTCCCAAACCTACCCCCCCCCATCGTCATCCCTAACCCCCCCTCTCCAACCCCTACCCGCCGCATCTCTCCGCTTCGGCCGATCCAACGGCCCAGAAAGAGTCTTACTCGCCCTAGAGTCCCCTCCCCCATACCCCCTCATATCCACCCATTTCTTGCCCTCCAGCCCATTCCCCAGGCGCACCACCCCATCAGCACCAGACACCACAGCCACAGGAGTCGCTGCGATTCGCTCCTCCCTCCGCTCATACACCCCCACAACTCCCACTGTCGCTCCTGCTGCCTGTGCCCCCCCTGCTCCCACTGCCCCTCCTGCTCCCCCTGTTCCCCCTGCTTCTCCTGCTGGTGTAGAGCTCTCTCCCGCCCCTCCCGACCCTCCCGCCCCTCCCCCTCCTCGGCCCCAGCCCATGAGCCCCCAGCCGCTGCTGGCGCTGCTCTTGGGAGTGCCTGCTGCGCCTGCACTGCCCGCCCCCGCACTCCTGCTCACCTCCCCACTTGCTGACACTGTCCGCGGCACCCTGCCGCTGCCACTGCCACTGCTGTTGCTGATGCTCCTCTCACCCTCCCCAACTGCTGCCGCTGTTCCGGTACCTGACTCCCCAGCAGCTGACTCCCTGCCCATGGATCGCCCTGAACCTATCCGCGGGCTTAACAGGCTTGCCAGCATGCGCGTGCCAGGAGGGGACGAAGAGGAGACAGAAGCAGCAGCTGCGGAGGAGGCGGAGGAGGAGGAGGAAGCGGCGGTGCGGGTGCTTGGGGGGTGGGGGAGTGGGACAACAGACACGTGGGAGCCATGGGAATGGCTCAGTTGCTTAGCGCTGTGACCGTGCATGTTCACACGCATGCATGTCGCTGTGCTGTTGCTGTTGCTGCTGTTGTTGCTGCTGCTGCTGTTTTTGAACAGCGATACGCTATTTGCAGGGTTGACAGTGTGGCAGGAGGACGAGGAGGAGGAGGAGGAACTGATGGTGATGGCAGCAGTGCGACCAGCACCACTCGTGCTGCTGCTCCCTGTGCTACTGCAAAAGCTCACATCCACATCGTCAACTCCCCCTCCCCCTCCCCCTCCCCCTCCCCCTCCCCCTCCCCCTCCCCCTCCCCCTCCCCCTCCCCCTATCATCCCAGCCCCTCCTGCTCCTGTGCCAGACGCTGCCACTCCCCCTGCTTCTCCTCCCCCAGCCCCTCCCCCCATACTCCACATACGCTTGAAGATTCCAGCATGGGGGGACACAGACCTATCCATTCCCTTCTCGCTCTTCTCCCCATCCCTTTCCTTACCGCCCTTGCTCGTCCCCCCCTCCTCCACCTCCTCCTCCTCCTCCTCTTCCTCTTCCTCCTCCTCCTCCTCCTCCTCCCCCTCCTCCTCCTCCTGCCGCGGCTGCGAATGCCCCAAAGACGCCTTGAGCCATTTCAGTGGAGACGCCTTCCTAGCCTTCTCCTCGCCTTCCTTCCTCTCCCTGCCCTTCTCCTGCCGCCCCGTCCCTTTCCCTCCCTTCCTCTTCCCCTTGCCGTCACCACCACCACCACCATCCCCAGCAGCAGCAGAGGCAGGGGCGAGAGCAGGCGTGACGGCTTCAAGTTCTTCCATGGCTTGAAGCCGGAACGACGGCATACCGTCCGACACCCCATGCCATATCATCGCCTCCCTCCTCTCCTCCCACCTCCCATCCCCCCCGTCCTCCCCGTCCTCCTCATCCTCCCCTTCCTCCCCGCTGCTCCCCCCTCTCCCGCCTCTCTCCCCGCGCGCGCTCCTCCCCGCCCCCCCGCCTATGGACGCCCCCTCCGCGCGTTCCCCCCCCCCCACGCGCACTCGTCGTCTCCGCCCAGCACGTCCAGCTCATCATCATCCTCATACGCCGCGCTACCGTCCAACCTTCCCCGCCCAGCACCATCACCGCCTCTCCTTCCCCCCTCCCCCTCCCCCTCCTCATCCTCCTCCTCCGCCTCTTCCCCCTCCGCGTCCCCCTCATCGTCCCCCCAGTCGTCCTCCGTATTCATGCGCAGGCGCATGGAGAAGCGGAACCCCCCCGCGCCCAACCCGCGCTCATCCAACCCTCCGCTTTCCCCCCCGGCCCCACCATCACCGTCATCACCGTCCCCGTCACCACTGCTCTCGTCACCCGCACCACCATCCTCGCCACCTCCCCCCGCGCCTCCCTCTCCCGTTACTGCCGTCTCACCGAATCGCTCGTACTCCGCGATTTGCGGGTGGGGAGTGGAGGCCAGCGAGGAGGACGCCGCCGACAGGCTCGCCTCGATCGCCGCGACCGGCGCGAGCGACACCAGCAGAGGCGGCTGCGACGCTGCCGCCGCGGCTGTCGCCGCCGCCGCCGCCGCCGCCGGCGACGACGCGCTGGCGGCAGCGGCGGCGGCGGCTGTGGCGGCTGTAGCGGCGGTGGCCGCGGGCGGCGGCAGCTGCAACTCCAGCTGCACTCTCTGCCCCACTAAAGACCCCTTGCGGTCGCTCTTTATAAACCGCGCTCTTAACGAAACGGCGCCTGCGGACGTTCCAGTAGCGGCTGCTTTGGCGGCCGCCTTATCCCACTCCGCGTGTTTCACGTAATCCAGTAGATCGAAGAAGCACCGACCGACTAACTCCTTAGGAGCCTCGAACCCTAAAGCTGAGACCACGCCCGCGCTCGCAGCAACGATGCACGCTGACCGTTGATCTACGAGAAGCAACGGCTCAGATGAGGCGGAGAGGACGGAGCAAGCGATCGAAGGGTCGAGGAGGAGGAGCGAGGGGATTGGGAGGTCTGGCGTGGACGGGCGCAGAAACGACGCTTTCGCGAAGTCGCCGTTGATTGGCCCGTGCATCACGCGCGGCGAAGCTGACGTGGCGGACGACGCGGCTGGCGGAAGCGGGGTGGGGGAGGCGAGGGGGTAGGTGGAGGAAGAGGAGGAGGAGGAGCAGGCGGGAACAGGAGGCGCATGGTGGTGATCCGCATACGTGGTGGCAGACGTGGTAACGGAGGGCCCTATAACGAGGTTTTTCAGACGGTTCTTGGCACTCAGCAAGCGACTGAAGCCACTGCTGCCGCTGCTGCTGCTGCCGCCGCTGCTGCCGCTGTTGGTGTTAGTGCTCGCCGCCGCTTCCGTCCATTCTGCTCCTCCTGCCGTCACCGCGCCTGGCGAGCCGCCCGGTGCGCAAACCCCCGGCGGCCCGGGGACCACAATCCCCGCGGCGGACGCCGCCGCGAGCGCCGCGTCAGCAGCGTCGTTGAGTGACGTGGAGCGGCGCTCGATGTTCGAGATGGAGCGCGCCATGAGCCGCGCAAGCGAGAAGGACGGCGCGGAGGCGGAAGGCGGAGGGGAGAGCGGGGACGATTTGCTCACCATGCTCCCCCGCGCGGGGATCTTCCCGCCCCTGTGGATCCCCCCGTTGGCCCCCGTGCTACCGCCGCCGCCGCTGCTCGCAGCAGCAGCGGAGGCGGCAGCGGCGGTGACGCTGCTCGCGTCGCGGGGACTAAGGAGTGTGTTATGGTACGAGTGCGACGGCGCGTCGGCATCGCGGCCGTGAATGTGACTGTCGCGAGAGTGGTGATAATAATGAACCACTGACAGGGGGCTACGAGACCTTCCCTTGGGCAGCGGGGACAGTAATCCGCCCGCGCCCGCCCCAGCACCCGAGCCCTTACCGCCCGCCGCTGCGCCTGATGCTCCGCCTCCCTCCTCGCTCCCCCGAGCACTGCCCCTCGACCCTCGGCGGAAACTCCCCACCGCCTCTAGTTTCCCCCACCCCTCCCGCGGCGTGCTGTTGCTGCGACTGCTGATGTCGGCGGACGAGCCGTCGGCGGACGGCGCGCGGGTGGGGGAACGACCGGAAGAGGCGGACGGCGAGAGGAGTCCCGCTCGCGAGGAAAGCATGCGGAGGAAACGACGCGCGGAGGTGGAGGGGGAAGACGAGGAAGGGGAATCCGCGGGGCTATCGGCGGAGTCGATGCCTGGCGGCTTCCTGTCGCCCGCCGCTTCCGCCCCCGCGCTTTCGTGCGCGTGGTGGCGTCGGTGCCACAGCGCGCGCGCGGAGGAGGACCGCGCGGGGGAAGCGCCAATGGGCGCAGACACCGCGACGGGCGAAGGGGACAGCGTGATGCTGGCCCGCCGCTTCACCGCCGCATCTGCCGCCGCCTCTCCCGCTACGCCAGGCGCTGTCGAGCCCGCGGAGGTCGCGTGAGGGTACCAGAGAGGCGAAATGTTCCGCGGGCGGCCCGACATCGAGTTGCGACGTTTCTCAGGACTGCTGCTGTTACGGTCTCCTTTGGGTGCGGCTGAGATCCCGCCAGAACCCTGCGGCTGTGACGTGGCATGCGGATGCGGCGCCGACGTGGATGCGCGAAGGGCGAAGTGCATAGGCGGGACGCACGTGGGCTGATGCCCGTGAGTCGCGGCGGTGACCGCGGCGGCATTGTCCTGGTTGTGGTTCTCCACCGCAGGGTCGTGCGACTCCGTCACCAGGCGACAAGGCGACGGCGTGCGATCCCTGCAGCTGTCTACTGGGGGCGACGGCGACATGGCTTGAGACGACGCGGCAGCAGCGTCGGAAACAGCGGCTGAAATGGCGACACCTCCAGCAGCGGCCGTAGCAGCCGCAACAGTCGCAACGTGGGGACGGGAACCTTCGCGGAAAGTGTCGGGGAGGGTGGACGATTGTCCGTGGCGGCAAGGAGCAGCGGGCGTAGTCGAGCTTGACTGCGGCGCGAGTCGCGAAGTTTCGACAAGAGCCATCTAACGACAGGGCGTCTGGAGACGACGTTGCCTGTGGGCTGAGCTGAGGAGGGCGTCTGGAAGAGAAAGAATGAATACGCGGGTGACTAAGTGGAAGAGAAGGGAGTGGCCGGGATGCTGCAGAGTAGTGTGGTTTGCTGGAGTGTAGCGAAAGGCTGGAGTGAAATGCTCTGCAGGAGCGGATGGCTGCATTCGCGGCAGAATGCCTTGGGTAGATAACGAGGATGACGCGTATCGAGATGCTGACACAACTACGTTTAGCTTTTTCTTCTCACTTCAGTTGGGAGTTCCGATAATCCAACGGACGACTCGGCATCGCACCGCGTCGTCTCCATGCATTCCTTGCATTCCCTGGACAGGGGGGTCTGTGGCTACATGGAGGAGAGTAGTGGGTACGGTACGGAGGTAGACTGCTCCAGGTTGAGAGGGGGGTCCAGGAATATCAGCAGGTTGTGCTTGTTGGCGATCGTGAAATGTGTGATTTGTGAATGTAACGGAACTCCCAGAGGGAGGAGGGCTGCACTTGAGAAGCTGCAAGAAGAGCAAGCATGGGTCGATTCGGTTGGGGTCAAGTCGAGGACTCGCGTGGGCAGGGCAGGCAGAGAGAACGGGACGGGGCCATGCCTACGCCACGCCACGCCATGCCATGTTGCAGTGAGCTGGTGTATATTTTCCGCACAGTGTACAGTAACTACGGAGAGATACAGTTGGTAGGTTGGGCGGTCAGCGTCACACGTCACGTTGCACTTGCAACACATGCAGCTTTTGCTGGTTGGTTGGGTGGCGGGCGGTCTGGAAGCTGAAATCTAGTCAGCGTCAGCACGATTTCGGCCGTTGTTGTGCAAGATTCACAGATGGAGGTTTAAAAAATAATGGAAAATAAGTAGCATTGTTAGGCTCCTTGGTAGAAAACCACGTCGGGACATAACAACCAAGAACAAATTTCGAACTAAAAAATATCAAACAGCTCAAACAAGCCAGTATTGTTTGGAGGGTCATTTCATAACTAAATGTAACTCACCCAGAGGAACATCAACCGAACCCATTTCTGTGTCGCGTGGTCTTTGCCGCGTTGTCATAGTGCGTGCCGACAACGAGATTGCTACAAAACACTTTTCGAGGCACATTGGTGTGGTATAGGTTTTGTTTGTCTGGCGGGGGCAGACGTTTCCCTTCAGTGGGGAGTTCGGGTTTCGGGTCCAGTACAAGAAGGGAGACTTTCAAACCCAGACCACATTTTCGACTTTGCCGACAGATCTGTTCGTGTAGCTCTAACCCTAGTATCACCAACCAAGGTGGTGTGCCTGGTAAACGATGCTGCAACATCCGGTAACTACCCTGGTGTTTCAGTAGAGTGACGAAAACAGAGTGGGCTGTGTTGTGCGGCATCCGTCACCAATTCTGAAAGCAGCAATTGAGAAGATTGTTGATTGACGTACAGAACAGTTCCACATTCAGATGAAAGCGGGCAGGTGTGTACAAGAAATCTGTCTGTAGTGTAACAGTGCCGTGGGATGAGCAACAATGCGCTACAAGACATGCAATGCGAAATCCCCACCGAAAAAATCTCCCACCCACTGCCCCTTGTAGTACGATCCTCAGTCACTGCCAAGTTCCAACCAATCGACTCAATACACCCTCATTCTCACTCATCTCACCGGCGGAAGCACTGGCTACCTTGGTTGCGGGCAAAGTCGCACGAGGTGACGAGGAAGCAGGACTTGGCCAAACAAAAACTCATTAACGCTGAATATCCGTCTTAACCGCTTTGCAAAAAGCAGTAACATTCCAGAACGTATAAAACCTTGACTCACCGCCTTGGGCCAAGTTATCACTATAACGCATGTGATAAGACCTTGTTTGGTCCTGTGCGGCTACACTAAGCGTTCCGGTCAGTATAACATATGCCAGTCTATCGAGAATGAGGGTGTACAGTATAACCCAAACGCACTGCGTAAAACACCTCATCAAAACACCTCACAAGAACACGCACTACTGATGCTAACTGCAAATGGATTTACAAAATACAATCAACACGTAATGTAGCAAATGCTACAAGTAAATCTGTTGCAAACAGGCACTTTTCTGTGTCAAGAATGAAAAAATAGGTAAGAATAAGAAATCAAAGGCTCTGTCAATCCATCCTAGACAATATCTGCCGGGAGGGTTTGTCCATCGAAGGAAGAATACAGACAGTCAGTCTTCATCACTCCAGAAGTCTCATAGTCCTCAGTGCGCCCGTCCAAAAAACCTCGCCCCTCCTCCCCTTCGGCAGCAATAGGGTGACCCAATAGAACTGCAAGGGCTGAAAAGTCCATAGCCCTTCTCTCCCTTCCTCTCCTATACGTCTGCCCAAGCACTCCGTGTATTCTTGGTGATGGCTTTATGTGCGAAAAATGGAGGTTGATATGGGCTTGTGCATCTGTGGGTGTCTGAAGCAAGGGATGCGCGACACGCAGCTTTATCTGGACATCAAGGAGTGAGTCTATAGTGAGTCGGTACGAATCCACCTGGAAAAAGCCTTCACCAATTGATTCCTCGGCTTCAAAGGAGAAGGAGAAGCCAGAAAAGGAGTGGCGTTGGCCAGGCTGTAGTGAGGCCAGGGGAAGGGAGAAAAGAGCAGAGTGAAACGGAACAACACAGAGCAGTGGTTGAGTGGAAAGAAACAAACGGAAAACGGAATAACCAAGAAAGCAAGAACAGAAAATGACAACCAGAGCGCTTTTCCCAAGACATGAATTCGCATGCTTTTCATCCCTATCCGCACTTTCATAGACTCACCCGTCCATCACCTCACCCATTCCCCTTTTGCTCGTACATACAACCGTCTGTCCATGCAACATATCCCATTACCAATCCCATAACCCTGCGAACTTCTCAGAGAAACATCTATTGGCCACAGAAACCAAATCCTCCCTCCCCAACTCCTTCCCAAGTATCCCACTCCCACACCAATCCTCCCCCCTTCTTCTCGCCCCCCTATCCCCGGCCACTTGCACACGCCCCGCTCAACTTACTTCTAATTCCGGCATCGCCTTTCCATCCAGCTCCACCAGTCGCAAGAGCCGTCCGCCCTCCGTTCGCCCCTGCCCCTTCCCGTCCCTCGCCACCAACCGTAGCGTGTGCTTCCGCCGTGGACCTCCCACGCGCGTCTCCGCTCCCCCGCTTCCCCCTTCCTCTTCCGCTTCCGCAACTTCTTCCGCTTCGTCTTCTCCTTCTGCTGGCTTCGACCCCCTCCCGGTTTCCGCCATCTGCGCGCCACCCGCGGAAGGTTCCCGCCAGACGACCCCCAGCTCGCGGATCCACGTGCGCACCGCCAGCCCGTTGCGCAGCAGAGACGCGCCGATGGTGCGCGTGTCGTAGTACCCGCGCATCTTCATGTTCACGTGCAGGCTCGAGTCCGTCAGCAGGCAGTACGACTTCTCCGGCGCGCCGTTGAACTCGAACCGCGTGCCGTGCGCGCCGCGGAAGTGCGGGTCGTTTTTGGTGCTGCCGCAGGGAGTGCCGACACTGCCATTAGAGGGAGGGAGGGAGGGAGAGGATTGGGGAACAAGGGGATGAGAAGAGACGGATGATTGAACAAAAAGGAGAAACGCGGAGGAAAAAAGACGGTAAGGGGAAGGAGGGAGGGAAGTGCTGCAAGGTGACAATGACGGGAAGAAAAAACTGTTCGCGCTGCGAAAGAGATGAACATTGAGTACAGAGGGGATTGCGGATGGTCAGAGAAGGAGCACGGGTACAGAACAGCTGTTTCGTATGAATCGCGGCATGGGGGCGCGGAGGCGTGTGTACGATGGGCGCAGCCGCTTACGTGGAGACATTGGCGTTCAAGCGAGCGACTTTCTTGACAGTGATGTTGGCCGTGGCGCATGTCGGCGCAGCCGCCGCCGCGGGGTAGATGACGCACATGCCGCAACCCGCGCACACGGGGCTGGGCCTGCACGGGCGAAGGCGCGGAGAGGAGGAGGGTGCGGGGAAGGAGCGGGGAAGCAACGGGAGTCGAAGGTTAGGGGACGCCAGAGAGAAAAAAAGCTTTTGCGGGGGAGAGGATGTGGAGAAGGGGGGTTGGAGGGGTGGAAGAGGGTGCAGGGGAGGGATAGATAAGTGGTCGAAATGTTTAAAACTCGACGTAGAGCCACCAACCCCACTTCCCCCTGCACACCTTTCCACCTTCCCTCCTTCACCCCCTCCCGCCCACCCCACTTCCCTCCTCCCGCTTCCGCTGCAGCCCTCCCCCCACCGTCTTCCCCCCCTCCACCTTCCCCTCTTCCCTCTTCCCGCACGTACGGGATGATATGCTGCCAGTACGCGCATGACACCGCATTCACGCATTTGAGGCAGCACTGCAGCCGCGTGATCGCATTGCTCGCACAGTACGGCGTCGTCGCGCGTCGCACGCTCGTCTGCGTCGTGCACCGGATGGGCACCAGATACCGGCCGTCCGTCCCAGCCGTCGAGTTGCACGGCCGGTTGCAGCGAACTTGCGCGGAAGGTACGCATGTCTGTAGGCCCACGCCCTTGTAACGAACGTCGTTGAAAGTCTGCCCGCGAGTGGCGGGTGGCGGCTGCAGTGTAAGGAGTATTAGGAGGAGGACTAAAGCTGTCGGTATGTGTCTTGTCGCGCCCATGCGGAATAGGATCCAGCGTTGCTAGTGGAAGAGGGCCCGCACAATGCGCCGAGTTTCGCGGAAGGAGAATTGAAAAGGCTAGCCGGTTCGGTGGGGGTGCGAGAGCTGGGAGTGTGTCAAGACACGGTGGCATTTCAAGTATTTACAGCTAAATTAGGATACAATCTGTTGAGCTTAAATACACTAGCGGAATATACAGTTCAGTAAGAAACAGATGCAGTGTCTGTCGCTGGATGACGCTACGGCACACAGGCTCGCCAGAAAACAAAAATAAACGAAAACACACACAAGCCTCGCATCGACTACTAAGACGGTATGTAAGAGTCGAGTCGCGGTTCTTAGAGCAGCGCACTTTGCGTGGACGACAGACGACAGAACAGTCAGGGAAACGGGTTTGGTTCTGGCGAACGAGAACGGATGGAGGACGCTGGAGGGTACCTCACCGCCGACAAGAGTAGGATGCGACTTCAGAAGTGTTTAGTGCGGTGAAAGAAGGTGCCTGAACAACATGTGCAACCCCCTCCGCGTCTGTTCTGCTGGAGAGGCACCTGAGATGTTTTTTGGATGCATGACGCAGCCAATGCCCTCGGCGTTTCTGGCAGTTTGTTTGAGCGAGTGAGACTTGAAGGTCCACTTTCCGAGACCCCAGATCGTCGTCTCGTCAGCGAGTGTATGGAGCACTGCTCTCAACCACGGCTGCACAGTGGTTCAGTTCAAATCATGGGTAACACCAGCGTTGTGTGTACGGAGGCAACGGACGGAGCGGAGAGAAGGGAAGGGAATGGACCAGTGGAAGAGGATGTGACTCGTGAACTGTTCACTGTGCGTGTGCGGTGCGTCGGTAAGCACAACATGCGACTCGTCGCTCGATCACCTGATGCATTTGCCCCTTTTGTCATCTTTCTCAACAACCAACCAAGCGAGGTTTCACGAACAGGGTTTCAGCAATGAGAAAAATCGCGAATCTCGTCGACGTTCCAGAACCCACAAGGACCCCACCATTTCTCATTTCTAAGGGCGCGTGTCTTTTGAAGTGTATTGAAGTACATAACTTTCTATCGACTTTATATTCTTGAAAAAAGTATAAAATAGTGACCCTCGACCCAGCTTGAAAGCGTGTACTGGCGGGGCCAAGCGAGAACGAAAATGGGATGGTAAAGACTGTTGCAAACATTCTCGTGTCTTCAGATCGAACTCGTATGATTGGTTCCCGCCAATGTATTTTTGTTTGCGGACGTCAGGCGACGTCGCATTTCTTGTGCTGCATGCGCATGAAGGTTGCTTGTCGCTGGTTTTCATCTTTGGGCCCAACCTCCTAGTGTTCTCCCTGCAGAGAGTCACTACACAACGGGAGTAGACTACGGAGGAAGGCACGGGGTTGTGCGGGTGATCGTCGCATTGCACTAGCCGATCTCGCTACTTGCTATGTTCACAAAGAGATATGGCAAAAGTTTCACTAAGAGATTGAATTAACATAGATTACAATGGGGCATGCAAGTCGATATAGCTAGAATGGCATTGCAACACCTAGCAAGCCCTCTGCAAGGCGAACTATGCCAGCGCAGCAGAAGGGCGGCTTGCCAACGCTGCAGCAGAGTAGTCTGCCAGCGTGGTATAGCTGCGATCTGCCAGCGTGGTATAGCAGCGGTCTGCTAGCGCCGCAGAGGTTGGTGAACTTCTGCGCAGGAGCAGGTCGAGGACGGCTACAATGCTGAGGAATATCCGCAGAGTTACGTAGCTTCCCACCGGCGCATACGCCTCGTCATAATCGGCGCCGTATACCTGCGTGAAGCTTTTCACAATTAGACAGGCCTTCTCGCGGGCGACCGTATCGTCGACGTGGTATTTCGTTATAAGCACTCAGCGGTTCTTCATGATGTTGACACCGCGCGGACGCTCGACCAGCTCCCACGTCTCATTTGCAATGAGGCTCTTGATCTCCTCGTCCATGGCGGCCTTCACCGCCTTGCCTTTCCAGCTCGCCAACGCCTCCTTCACCGTCATGTTCGCAATTTCCCAGCGATGCTCCGGGTCGGCGTGCATATCGGGGTTGAGCTCAGGCAGGTCGATGTCGGCGCCCGCGTCGTCGATGTCCCAGCGATGCTCCGGGTCGGAGTGCTGTAGGGAGTCGGCGGTAGACAAGCGTGGTAGCTCAACTCCTCTGCGGGCTTGCCGAAGTTGGAGCGGGTAGAGCGTCGCAGCTTCGCTTCGTCGACCGGGACCTCCACCACGTCGCTGTCGTCGAACTGCTCCCCTGCCGACAGGTCCCCTTCCTCACCACCAATGACTTCTACGACATCGCCCGACGTGCCATCGTCGAGCTGGTCCTCTGCAGTCGGCTCCTCTGCCGACTTCGCCTCTGCCGACTCCCCTGCCAATTTCGTCTCTACCGGCTTTGCAGACTTCTCCTCTACCATCGGCTCTTCTGCCGACTCCTCTGCCCTGCGCTCCCCTGTCAGCTGCAACTTCTGCACTTGGCCGTCGAGAGGCATTTCGTCACGTCGGCCGCCGGTGATGCCACTAGTCGGCGCCAAAGGTGACGCACCAATTCTCCCCTCATCGCCGATGGCCGACGGCGATGCCAACTGCGGGAGATCAGCAACAAGGGGCAAAGGGGAGGTAGAAGAGGGCGCAGAGGGATGAGGGACGTCCTCGACGTCGTCATTGTCGATGACAAGCAAAGGGGCCGTCGTCGACGAGGGATCCTTCGGCGCGACAGCATTTTCCGCTTCGAAACGGGGCCGTGCTCTGCCTTCCAGTCTTCCAGAGACATTGCTTCGTAGAAGATCGCCTCTATTGTCGTCACTACCTTGTTGTCGGTAAGGTCGAGCACCTCCCAGCCCTTGCTCACCGACGACACACCGAGATGAAGGCCCCACCGGGTTTTCGGCGCCAAGTTCCCGCTGCGCTGCTGCTCGGGGACCATAAACTGCACCATGCAGCCCCACACGTGTGCCAACGTCAGGTCCGGTTTCTCCCCAAACAGCAGCTCATTCAGCGTCGTCCCCTTCGGTAGAGAAGCCCGTTCGAGGCAGTTGCGCACCCAGACGGCCTGCCGCAGAGCAAGATGCCACCAGTGGTGCATCATGCCCATGTGAAGCAGCATCGTCCGCACGGTATCCACGACCGTACGCATCTCCCTCTCTGCCATCCCATTCTGCTGCGGGGTATAGGGGCACGTCAAATTGTGGAGGATGCCCTTGTCTTCGACGAGGTCGGTGAAGGCGCGACCGAGGAACTCCCCTCCGCGGTCAGAGCGCAGCCTTTTCACCGTCTTTGACGTCTGCCGCTCGACCAGTTTCAGCCACTTGTCGAAGACGACAAGCGCATCGCTCTTCTTTACGATCGGCCGAACCCACACGTAGCGAGTCTTTCTGTCCTTCAGCAGTTGAAAGTAGAGGCTGCTATTGCTGACGACCACTCGAAACTGCCCGCAGAGGTCGATGTGAACCACGTCGAGCGCATTCTTGGCGTCCGATCCTTGGTCGGGGAAGGTATGCCGCGCCAGCTTGCCTCGGACGCAGGTAACACACGGAAGATCCGCCGCGGTCGACTGCTTCATGTCTAGACTGACGGTGACATCGTGCTTCGCTGAGCTCTTGATCGTGTCGATGCCGACGTGCACTAGCCTTGCGTGCCACATGTCTGGCGTAGTCTTATCGTCCGCAGAGCCACCACCTCTGCCGGGGCCGACATTGACTCCGTCGAACAAGGGCGAAGGTCGGTGCAGAGAATCCGGCCGGTATACTTCGCGCGACCAAGCACATTCCCCGCAGCCGAGACGAGCAGCATTTCGTCGACGTACTGCAGCTTCACACCATTTTCCAGCAGCTGGCCGACCGACAGCAGGTTAGCATGCATGCCCGGAACGTAGAGCACGTCAGGAACGAAAATCTGCTTCCCAATCTCCCCTCGTAGAGCACGGCCTTCGACGTTCTGCAGTGCCCCGTCGAAGCCGCGCACATGCTTTACGTCGCCTCCAGGCTTCAAATCGACGAACGCATCCTTCGTTCCCATCAGATGGTGGGAACAATCGCTGTCGAGGAGCACCACCGTGGGGTTCGCCTGCACTGCGGCCGCGATCGCCTTGAAGTCCTCCCCGGCCTCTGGTGCCAGAGAGACGGTAGACTCTACGACTTCGACCATCGAGCACAACGCCTCCCCGTCGCCTTGACCTTTGTCGGTAGAGGAGTCAGCATCCGTCGACGGCGCCGATTTCGACGACGGCTTCTCCTTGCGCGGCTTGTTGTCTCGGTGTCGACAACTGCCGTCGGACTTCACGCGGCCTCCCTTGTCATCATCACCGCTCTCATCGTGGTTAGGGCACTCGAAGGAGAGGTGGTCGGGGTCGCACTGAAAGAAAATCTCACACGAAAGTTCCAACTTTCCCAAAACTAGCATCTTCAAGTTGGACCCAACGAGAAGGGGGGGGTCATTATTTTAGCTGCAGGCTTCGAGTCAGTTTTTTTTTTTTTTTTTTTTTTCGTTTTTCACTACTCGGGTTTCCAGAGCTAGTTTTTTGGGAACTCTGAAAATCAGGGTACATCCTGGGCGTTGCTCTGATTTGTCAGAGAAAACGTAACTTCTAAAAAAGAACCTTACATAGTCAGTGTAACATTTTCCACTACTCTGAATGTCCTTGCCAAGTATTGAACCTGCGCCTACGCGCGTCAACAAAATCTGGGACACCACTGTGCTACGCAAAACCAAATGTGAGGTTCACTTGCACTTAAAATGATACTCTTTCGGCTCTGACCATATGCTAGATTTTCGGGGGGTTTGGTCTAAGGGCATGTACCCTGTACAGAAAAAAATGTACTCGCCAAAAGAATACACTGACGCATCAGAGTAGCTAAAAACAAAACCCTGGCAAATCAGACAAAATCTTCCTTTAAAAAAACTTACCCAGAGAAGTCAGAGTGACCCCCCAAAAACCATTCTGATTTTCAGAGAAACAGAGAAATTTACTCTGATAAAGAAAGGCCTGCTTGAAGTCCACC